ACATATTCCTGGATGGTTCCAGTCTGCTTCAGCCTACTCAGCTCATCTCTCAGATGCAGAGTGGCATTCGGAGGAACGTATGTCGCGCGGATCCTCACCTTCATCATGTCCCAGGTGGTCACCGGTCCTTCATTGGCCTCCGTTGTTCTCCACCAAGACTTGGCATTATCTGCCAAGTATGGTTTTGCACATGGGACCTTCTCCGAGCTCGGTAACCGTAACGCTCGGAAGTAGTCCTCCATATCGTAAAACCAATCCTCCACAACCTTATAGTCGTTCACTCCCTTGAACACCGGTGGGGGCTTTGGTTTGTACTTGGGAACTGCCTGAGGGACTGATTCCACTTCGGTCTGTTCGACCTTGTCTGGTTTTGCCTCAGTCCCTGCCGAAGGGTCCGCACCTTCTGCGCTGCCTTCATCCGCAGTCTTTCGCTTTTTCTTCCGCTTCTCGTCACGCTTTAACTTGCGTACGAGAGTCTCCAACAGGGCATTGGTCTGTGCCAACTGTCCTTCTAGCACGTCCAATCGAGCCTTGGACGACCGAACCTCGCCACCGGACTCCTGTTTGGAAGTTTCCTCACTAGAGTCCTCCTCATGCAAGGATTCCTCATCCATAGCCTCTTGTTCAACCGGAGGCTCCAGCTCCGGCGGAGGTTCCGTCTCCGCCTGGGTTTGCTTACGCCCTGCCCTTGCCATCTCCCAGCAATCCGCCTCTATCCTTCGCTAGAACTGAGATAAAAGCTCCGATACCAAATTGTAAGCCACAAATTTTTCTTTTCCAATTTGCCAGCTTACCTCGTCTATCCGTCCAACACTGCCTTGGCTTTTGCTAAGTCCCCTCGCCAAGGTTCTCGCCTATGGTACCAGCTCCTACTTGGTTTCAGCTACTCACTGCACGAGCAACGGGGTGTTAGTCATCCTTCCACGGATTCCCAAATCACTCCCAATCCCCCTCCCCGGGTTAGACTGGACTTAAGGTTCGGCTACACTCCCCGCAAGCACAAGCAGCCAAGCACACCAAGCTTCCAGGTTCCTAACATCCCTTGGTACCACAAGACTTGATCATGGGACCCTCTAAATCCCAAGTCTTGAGTGCAACACTTGCTTCGGGATGCCGGGGCGAAACACCGTGGCCTAGCGGCCCGGTATGGGTACCTCTCGCCCCCCACTTCCATCCCGAAGGAAGGCCCAAGCCCCTAGGAAGGGCGAGGACCAATGAGCCGCATGGTACTCAAGTGGGGCACCACTCCACATGAGCCGGGAGCACCGCAATCGGTTTCCCTTTCGGGAGTGGGAGCTGCTCTTGAGCACTTCCTTGGATGGCCCCTCCGGCACCAGCCAAGTCCATGCTCACTCCCACCCAAGGCCCCTCGGTCCCAGTCTCAACCTCAAGTCGGTTTGGAAGCCCAACTGGAGAGTCCCTTCAAAACTGGTTCCTGGACCTCACTATCCCTACTATACTTTTGGAACCCCCTGCAGCCCCCCCCCCCTTGGGAGACGCACGCTTTGGGCTTTCACCCCTTGACCCGTATTAGTATTTGGACTTAGTCTCTGGCTCGATCTCGGACCCGATTTCGGATCCGACTTCGGATTCGGGTTCGGACTCGATCACGGACTCGATCTCGGACCCGATCTCGGACCCGACCTCGGACTCGACCTCGGACTCGGTCTCGGACCCGATTTCGGATCCGGACTCCGTCTCGAACTCGGTCTCGAACTCGGACTCGAACTCGGTCCCCGAGTCGGTCTCGGACTCGATTCCGGACTCTATCTCGAACTCGGTCCTAGAGTCGGTCTTGGACTCGATCCTCGACTTGGTCCCATCCGATGAACTCTTTGTCATTTCGGTCAAGCTTTTGGGGATCCTTTAACCTACGACATCTCGGGGAGTTGGTTCCTTACAGATAGGCGAGGTAAGCTGGCAAATTGGAAAGGAAAAATTTGTGGCTTACATTAGGTTGGGGATATGCTACACTTTCACAAGTGCTTATCATCCATAGATAAACGGTTTAGTAGAATGGCTCATTCAAATATTCAAAAGAATGATTGTGAAATACATGAACTTTTAGCATTTAGATTGGGATGGTTATTTGCTATCTTTTCGGTATGCATGTCACAAGGTTGTAGAGTTCTGTTGGTGTTTCACCATATAAACTCTTATATTATCATGATCCAATATTACTAACGAAGTTAGGTTTACCTTTGCAATTACCACGAGTTACCGATGCTAAATTATAAGATCAGTATTTGACAAACAATCTTCCACTTGTCTGAGTTTAGTTTGCTAAACACCTAGGCTACATACAAGTAGGACAACAACAATACTACAACTCCCATCATCATCTATTTATGGAGTATAAAGTGGTAGAGTTAGTATTAGTCCATTTTCCCTATCTTACTATACGTGGTTTATCTAAAGGGCTCTTTGTTTAGTGGAAAGAACTATATCAGATGTTACGGCAAGTTGAACTGCAAGTTTTATGAGGTTCGACATGACCTCTAGCAAGTCAATCCTCCAAAAATTATGCATATACAATAGTTGAAATTCTTTGTACAAAGAAATCAGGAACAACTGATATCACTTATAGATCCACCAATGCCTCCTCTTAATATTCATCTAGATCTTAACTTATCTACAAGAGAACTCTAATGGTCTTCTATTATTCTGAGAAGAGGGGATGATGTGATGTCCAAGTGTACAGCTATGATGCCGTATACTAATATTAGCATAGTGGGATTTTTATAGCCGTCGGATTAGTTTCAATCTGGACCACTTTCTCTTCTATATAAATTAGGGTTTTTGGGCTAATTGATATGCATATTTTTTGTATTCCCTTTCCACATTCCATGCACTCATAGTTTATAATTATAGACTTTTATTTAATAAATTTAATTAATAAGTAAGAATAACACTACTATTAAGTAAACCAAGCATTGCTATATATAACATGTAGCAAATTATTAATTCAATTGATTAAATAAAAATTTATAATTATAAAAATGTTTATAAATTATAAATAAAAGATTTATTTTATTGTATATCAACCATTAGATGGTAGAATAAAAAAAGAATATATTAAAAAGTGTTTAAGAAAGTTTATAAATCATATTTATAAATAATTTGCTACATGTTGCATGTAACAATGTTTGGTTTGCTTAATAGTAATGTTATTCTTACTTGTTAATCCAATTGATCAAATAAAAGTTTATAGTTAAAAACATGTTTATAATTTATAAATACAAGATTAAGCATATTGCATATTAACCATTTGCTGGTAGAATAAAAAATAATATACTAGAAAGTGTTTAACTAAGTTTATAAATTATAAAGATGTTTATAAATTATAAATAGAAAACTAATCTAAATGAATAACAACTATTAAATGGTAAAATATCTAAAATATTCAAGATATATATCTACTACCATCCTATAAGTATGCTTAAGCAAACTAATATTATAACTACAAGATTAATCTAAATGAATAATAACAGTTAGATGGTAGAATATTTTAAAATATTCAAATATATTTTAAATATATTCACTCTTACAAGTTTGCTTCAGCAAATAAAAAATTAGATTAAATATAAAAAAAATTGCAAACAAAAACTTATATACAAAAGCATATTTCTTTAAAGCACTCAGAACGAGGTTTAGGGTTTATGTGCAATGCGGGGATGCGTTCTTGTCAGGTACTCCGACGCCAATGCGCGCAAGAGGATCTCTCTCCAGCGCCGCTGGACGAGCAGGGCCACCAGGATCGTCACCGTCATGGCGCCAGCGCCGCCGGGGGTGCTGATGCCCCGGCCGCGATTCAACCAGTACCTTGACGGGATCGTGAGGCGCGAGGCCAAACTCCGATTTGCCGATCGGATGAAGAACACGCTGCTGTCGCAGCCAGATTGGACCGCGCTGGCGATGGATATCCAGAAGAACCGCGGCGATTACCTGGGGAAGCTCAGGGTCACGCACTTCGTGAGGAATTTCCCCTACGTTTTTGAGTTCGCGCACGGCGAGGATCGATCGAAGTGGCTCCGCTTCACGGGCGCTGCCAAGAAGCTGATGAAGGCGCATCAATCGTTCAAGGAGAGGAAGCAGAGGTCCGAGGCGGTGGAATCCGTGACAAAGCTGCTCATGCTGGCGAAGAACAGGAGGATTCCAGTGCTGGAGCTGGCGAAGATGGCGAAGTACTTTGGATTTCCAGCCGACTACGAGACCAAGATCTTCTACAGCAATCCAACGTACTTCCGCCCCGTGGAGACGAAGAGAGCTCGCTGCCTGGAGCTCTCGCAGTGGTATCCAGAGCTCGCGGTCACTGCTCGAGAGAGGTGGATCGCCGAGGCTGGGATAAAAAATCCTTACGAGTTTCCAGTGCCAGTGGAAGTTGACGGTGGCAAAGTCGATCGGGAGGAGATCAAGGCCTACTTCGATGCTCTCCAGGAAGCACCGTTTCCATCACCTTACGACGACGCTGTAGACGTGGTGCCCGGCTCGGCCAGCGAGAGGAAGCGGACGCTGGCAACTTATCACGAGATTCTCAGCCTGACCATCGAGAAGCGGATTTTGCTCCACACTTTCCATGGTTTGGGAGAGTGCTTGGGGCTGCCCGAGGGTCATCTCGAGTACTTTCGCAGCAACGAGCCTATCTTCTACGTCTCTCACGCCGGCTCGCGTCCGTGGGTGTTTCTCCGGGAGAGTTACGACACGGGCCCGAGGGAGAGACACCCGCTGCTGGTTTTCAAGGAGCGTTTCTTCGCGATGTGCATGTGTGTCAAGGAAGAGAAGTTCAACCAGATCCATCAGAGGAAGGGAGCTGCGGAATACGACACGGACGATTCGGACATAGAACTGTTGGGTGATGAAGACAATGGGCCACGCCGGCCGGTTCCTCTTGACGACTTCGACGTTGATGGCTGGTGCATGGCTTGATGCAATCGAAGTAAGGTCCATTACACTTTTGATTTTTCAAAAGCTGACATGTGTATTCGTTGTACCCTGAAGACGGCGAATGCGATACTTTGTCTTCTTAGAATCGGGAATTTCGAGTACGAAGCTTCAACCGCCACTATCCAACTGACGTTGGCGCACAATGAAATTATATACACTCCGATCCGGGATTGTTTCTGCACCTTCGGCCGCCAGAGATTCTAGTCGATAATGGCCGAGAACGACTCTGCTGTACCACAACAAAGGTTTGACTATCGTTTGAGTTTTTCTTCCTATTTGCTGCTTTTGACTAAATCAGAGGATGCTGTGGCATGGAGATGCCACCACTTCCAAATTTGAGGTAAGGCTGTCGTCATAAGCTCCTCGCCTAAGTTTGGATTTTTGTTAGTGGTCAGCGAGTATAAAAACCAAGCACGGCACTGTAAAGGCGCGTTTCTTCTTTCCCATTTTTAGTGTCCCATCTCTGAGGGCCGCAAATGAAGTTTCAGAAGCACCTCGAATGGCATCGAGTTCCAGATTGGCGCGATTCATATTTCAACTACAAGCAGCTCAAGAAAGATCTAAAGAAAGTCAAGCACGATCATCAAGCTGCCACGAGGGTAAAGATTGATGTTGATACAGTAAACAGGATTCAAGAGCTAGGGAGCCTGTTTGGAGAGTCGTCGCGTTCTCCTAGTCAGGGCTCGAGGCTGAGGAGTTTATTTGGAAGCTCGTCGGTTGCCGACAGCTGGGTCGAAGAAAGCAACGATTTCATGGTAATTTATTTACTCGTTCTTTTGTTTCTGAGATTGTAATTCTTGTTCCAGGTAGTACACAAGAAAAGCCTTCGGACTTATGTCCAGGACGAGGTTGTGTACGAGACTGAGCTGCGTGGACCTTCCTCCGATGCGGAATATGTGAGACTGTTTTTCGCGAAGCTGGACTCTCAACTCAACAACATTAACTATTTCTACAAGCATAAAGAGAACGAGTATGTCTCTCATGCTCGACAGCTACAAAGTCAGCTTGAGCTTCTCTTTGAAAATCAAGGATCCTCCAAAGGTTACGTCTTTCAAGTGCTTTTTATGGGTTTGACGTGGACTTTACATCCTTCAGATGGCGGTGAGGTCTTTGCGGGAACAAATCCTGCTCAGGCGGCGAAGCTTTTGCGAGCTGGATTTATCGAGTTTTATAGAAGCCTTGGCCATCTCAAGAATTATAGCGCACTGAACAGAATGGCTTTCGGCAAAATTCTGAAAAAACACGATAAGGTTATTATGCCAAGGTCTTCTTCGTTGTGCCTGAATTGTGTTTGGTCTTTGTTTTTTCCAGGTTACAGGCAAATGTGCGTCAGAAACATATCTGCGAGCTGTTAATATGTCGCATTTCTCAACTTCTGATAAGGTGTGGAAATTATAAGGTATAACTGGTGTATCTCACGCAATTGTGTTCATGGTTGCAGATCCTCCGAATGATGGAACAAGTGATGTCCATGTTTACAGACTATTTTCTAAAAGGAAATCGAAGGAAGGCTTTAGCCTGTATGCAACCGATGAGGCAACCATCCTCGAATCTAAACTTCGTTCTTGGTTGGAAAGCTGCATGTATACAGTGGCTATTGTTTCTCACCTGTGAAAGTTTTCCAGGGCTATTCACGGGCTGTTCTTTCAGTCTTATCGTCACGTTCGTTCTACTCCTGACACTACCACACAACCACAAGTTTCCTAGCGTCCAAATTGCCTTCCCAATGTTCAGGTAGCTTTGCAACGTTTACATGCTGATACACTCCGTTTGTTCTACTTGGCAGCACACTTGTATTGTTCTTGCTACACATGTATGTGTATGCTTGCAACATCTACATTTGGAGAAAATCCAGGATCAACTATGCATATATTTTCGAGTTTGAACCTCGGTCGCAGCTTAAATACCAAGACGTGCTGCTGCTGAGCACGTTGATCACAATGCTTTTGATTGCGGCCATGGTTTTTTATCTTGTTCTGTATACGATCCCCACTACGTCAGACAAGTTTCGTGAGTTTGTTCCGCTCGGAGCTCTTTTGGTAAGAACTATTCCGTCTTTGCCTTCGCTAATCTGGTTCGCTCCATAAGCAGGTGTGGATCGGAGTTCTCGTTCTTCCTTTCAATGTCTTTTACAAACCGGCAAGGTCGGGTCTTTTCTATTCTCTCTTGCGGATCATGGTTGCACCTCTATTCAAGGTTCGACTTGTCCAATGATAAATTCCAGTCTCACTAGTGGACGGGGAATTTCAGGTTGAGCTTGCGGATTTCTTCCTTGCGGACCAACTTACAAGCCAGGTGTGCGACTCTGCTCATCGAAATCATAACCGCTTGCCTTTCTTTGTAGGTCACTGCTCTAAAGAACCTCGGGTTTACTCTCTGCTACTACGGTGGAAACAACTACGAATCCAGCAATGGAGAGTCTTGCACCTCCAAGTTTGCGCTGCAGTACCCTCTCGTGGTGATAGCATACTGGTGGCGTCTTATGCAGGTAATCTTCCCCTTCTTTAAAAGAAAGTGAGCGCTCTCAAAGTTCTCGATTTCAGAGCTTGAGAAGATGGGTGGACCTGCGGGATCCCGTTCATCTTGCAAACGCCGGCAAGTACCTGAGCGCTATTGTTGCGATGGTTATGAAAATCACGTACAAGTGGAGTGGAACAGCGGCATGGAAATCCATGTTTGTGCTGTCTTCGCTCTGTGCTACTGCTTATCAGCTCTACTGGGACCTTGTCATGGACTGGGGGCTTTTACAAAAAAAGGCATCGAACCGGTGGCTTCGGGACAAGCTCATGTTTGAGCGCAAGTCACTCTACTACAGTTGCATGGTAAGAATTTTTCGTTGTTGTGATCTTAGCTTTAACTGTGGTTTTGCACACACAGCTTATAAACACACTGCTCAGGTTGCTGTGGTTATTCTCGCTATTCCACCTGGAGTTGGGTGCGACTAAAAGCTTCGGTTTGGAATTCATCTTGGCAGCCTTTGAGATTTGTAGGCGGGGAATGTGGAACGTATTCCGGTAAGTATTTTATTAACTTAATTGAGTTTACTTATTTGATTTCTCTGTGATCAAAGCTTGGAGAACGAGCATGTTAACAACGTTGGTAAATACCGCGCAATCAAAGTTGTTCCACTGCCATTTGAAGAAAGGGACTACGCATATGTTGGTAGCCCCGAAACGAGCTCCGCGAGAGTGGTGAAAGACGCATAGCTTAGAAAAGCTTAATGCAATTTCCAAGCTCGCCTTTGAGTTGTATAAGTCTCAAATCCCCGTCCACAACCATCTTCTCTAGCAGTAAGAAAGAAGAAAACCATGTTTCTTGCTCTACTCTAGGAAAACGAAGCTCCAGAAACTTTTCGACTGTCATTGTGCTGGGGGGTGCAACTGGATCTTTCACGCTCTATCAAATTTAAGATCCGAGGCCGAAGAGAAGTCTCTATCCATCCCAAAGATCCGCAGCCATTAGGAAGCAAAAAATCGAAGTTTTGGCACTTACGGTTCCAGCAGCTACGGCTTCTCCGTGCAGCCAACCTCCGTAGCCAATTCCTGTCTCTATAGCCTAGAAGCATCGACTGGAAAGGAAAAAGAAAATTTAGGGAGAGAGAACTTACATGTCCAAACATATGCCCAAGATTTAGCTTCCTTCTCGTCAAGCGATACAACCTCTGCCTTGTTCTCGCAAGAATGCTGGATGGCATAAGCAAGAGCATCCGGGTCCCTGATAATTTGAATGTCACGAACGAGCGAGCCAATCGAAAACAAAGTCACCTGGAAGTGTGCTAATCCGTGTCGATAAGCTGGTAAAATGCATCAATGAGACTTTTGCCCCAAGCGATGATTCACACTGACTGGTCTTCCAAACTGGGAAAAAGAATCGTTCCACAAACTGTTCTAGAAAACAACTATTTGGTACTTCCAACGTTCATCGATGAACGTGAAGTTGTCAGGAGTCGGCCAGCATCCTAGGCGCTATACATCGTCATGATGCAATTGCTAACGATCAAGTGTGAGTGGTAGCCACACTGAAGAATGCACTCGAAACTCACTAAAAGATAGAGCAAGCATTGAGGATAGTGGCCTTGTCCAGTGTGTCCTCTAATGGTAAAATTTGTTTTATTTTTTAATTCTTTGCAAAACCTTTTTTGTGTATTTTAAATAATATATATTATGATAACAATTAGTTTATTAAGAAACTATTTGCCAAAACTTAATAAAAAATATTAATAACACAACGAAAAAAAGTTTTTGATCATTTTTTTGACAAACAAAATGTTTAGTTTTTATCTCACACATTAGCTTAAAATCATAAAATCTTAAGAAACAAGTTATATTAATCTATTGTCCAGTAATTGAGCATTAGTTTATAAACTATAAATAAGATTAGAATAAGCTAGAAGGGATTTGAAAAAGTTTATAAATTATAAATATATATATGTAGTTTGTTCTTATACAAGAGCATAGAGTTGTTGTGCAGGAGCGCAAATGAGAGATAGCACACAAGAAAGACTCTTTAGAACCACTAGGTACTGCGTATAGAAAGAACTGGCGACTACCTGCTACATGCTACATTATCTACTATTAGCACTCCCACTTGCGATTAGGCATTTGATCTAAGTCTGAATCATGCCTAGATGATGAAGCATGAGAAACTTATATATGAGAAAAGCATATGAAAAACTTATCAAGCAGCTTCCTTTAGATCTTTGGGTTGCTTGCATACACTCCTTGCTTATAAATATGTTTATAATTATAAATTTCCATTTGATTAGTTAAATTATTAAATAGGAATAACATTACTATTAAGCAAACTAAATATTATTCAAAATTATTTTTACCTTGGTTACTTTTTGGTTGTAAATCAAAGTTGTCTTTGCGAGAGTGAATTTCTCCACGAGGACGATAAATATTTATATCCATGCTTGAAAGTATGCGTGCACATTTTTAGGTTTGTGGAATGGGGAGGAAGGCATGGGCGATGGTGATGTGCTGCGAAGAGCTGGTAGCTCTGATCGTCACGTATCTGGGTCGGCGGGATCTGGCACGGTGCTGCAGCGTCTCCAAGCTGTGGAACCAGTGCTGCCGCTGGCAGCTCGCCCACGGCCGCGGATTAGGGTTTCTCATCGCCCCTACCGAAGGATCCAAGCTATGGATGCGCGATTCCAACACTGGGGAGGAGCAGTGGGTGCCACTAGGTATCTCTGATTCGGCTGTGCTGGGAACTTGCGAGGGATTGGTGCTTATAGAATCGGATGGGGTGCTGGCGATTGGCGAGCCCAGCGTGAAGCGATGGAAGCTCTTGTGGAGGCCGCGGATTGATGCAATATCGGCTTGGCTGGGTCGTGTGCAAGGCCAGCTTCTCATCCTCATCATCGACAAGTCCGGCGCCGTGCAAAAGTACGATTTCGCCAACGATTCTTGGATAGATGTTTGCCGCCCGTCGAGGAGGATCGCTCTTATCGAGGAATGCGTCTTACTCAGGGGCGGCTGCTACAGGCTCTTCGAAAAGTTGACGCATGGGCATGACTACGTGTTTGATGATATTTACAAGCTGGATCTGAGGCGTGGAGTGTGGGACAAGATGAACATGAGACGTGAATCTGTTCGCAAATTCGAGTGCCTCCGGATAGAGAAAAAGGTGGTAGAATGGCGAGGCAAGGCCCTCATGTATACTCTTAAGGTGTTTGACCAGGAGGAGGAGCTACGAGAGGGCAGGGGATTCGACACTCCAAGACTGTATGAGCTACTGGCTGATCAGGGAAAGGTGGTGGAGCTTCTGACGCGGCTAGACGCAGCCAACATCCTGAGCCCTGAGTTGCCCGAGGTGGTGTCTGATGACTATGACCTCTTTTGGATAACTCGAGACAGAAATGTGTTCAAGTATTCGGTGGCCGATTTGTCCTTCAACAAGCTGGTACAGGGCTCTGATGCTGCGCCGAATTTATACCTCCCGGGAGCTTACTTCTATATTCCTGACGGCGGGGAGGCCTTGTCTCGCAACATTTTGTCACATTTGCCTGATGTACCACATGATTATTAGAGCATTGTGTCGTAGTGTCACCCGGAGGTGCAGTTCATTTTCTCATTCGTGGAAATACACTTCCCAAGAAGGTGACGGTTCTTTACTTGGAGTTCATCAAGCCAAGTGTGATTTACTGTGATGGGGTTGTGAAGTGGGAGGTGCTAGACGTCGAATTTCTTTTGCAGATGAGAGACCTGCATCCATGGTTACCAAGTCCAACAGATTTGTAGCGGCTAACAATTGATGTGATTTATTTGTGAGCACACAACATGTCAGCGAAAGTCCAGGTCAGCAAAAACGAGAATATTTTACGGTAGAGCTGCCGCCAGGAGATCATCGCGCAGAGAGATTGGTGTTTCGAGGGATTGCGAATCCAAACGTTTTCTCGTGGAACATCTTGGCCGGAGCATATGCCCAGAGCGGGCATAAAGAAAGTTTTCGACGAGATATACTGAGGAAATGTCACATGGTGTCGAGCATGGTTTTTCTTCGATAGGAAGCAATCTGTTTGTCCAGATGGTCAAGGTTAGTCAATCGTGGTAAACGGCGGCCATGCCGAGGAGCACGTTCTTTCTCTTGGACATTGAGGAGCTCCTCACACGCGGCCACCCACGTGCCCAGATCTCCTGCCCTTTCTGCGTCGCATAGGCGGCTAAATCCCACGACGAGAGCGCTCCAGGAGATGAGACCTCCCGACGACGAGGAAGAGGCGAAGAATCTCTCGGCCTCGTCCATGCTGCCGCATCGCCCATACGCATCCACCAGGCAGCTCGCCACGACCGGGTCGATGAGATCTCGCCCCATTTCATGGCTCGCGCGGTCGATCTCGGCGTGGAGCTTGCGAATTCCTTCCAGATTCGTCGCAGTGCGACGATCGAGCGAGATGACCGCATCGCCGCGAGCAGTGCCAGGGACTCCTGGGGCTGGCCATAGCCGAGGATCAAAACGTTCCAAGGCGCCGGGTCTTCGTTCCGGCGAAGATCCTGTGCGCGTCGATCGTGCTCCACACTTGGAGTACGTATTGAGGCCACAATCGATCCTCAGACCGCGAGCGCTCGCGTGGATCGTCTCCACTTTGATCACACAAACACCTCCATCGCTATCGATGGATTCGGGGATTCGGGATGATTGCTCGCTGGCAGCCATGCTCGTGCACGCATTGGCGGCCACGACGATCGTCCCAAAAATCTATCCAGCATCGTCATCTGCGAGAAGACATCCAGCGCCATCGCTGCCTGGCAACTGGATTGGCGATGATCAGGCTTGTCAAACACCGCTCGAGCTAGATCCACGCTTCCACACTTTGCGTAGAGATCCACCAGCGTGCTCGCGACGAACACGTCCAGATCAAAACCTCTCTTTGCTGCCTCGCTGTGGAGAAATATAGCTCGCACCATCTTGATCGCCGCCAACTTTCCAGAAAACTTCGCCGTTCTTCCCTCGCGGCCAGCCCAGAACACGACTTGAGCGCCCACAAAACTCCTGGCACTGGATCGATTAGTGCTGCTCGCCATGAATTCTTGGAACAGTTCTAATCCCGAGATCATGGAAGTCCACGAGACAACGTCGTGAGTTTCCATTCTCTCGAAGATCATCCGAGCGGCAGGATTTCCCATACGCGTCGACGTCGATCAAAGCGCTGGCGACGAGCATGTCTGTGTGCCATCCGGCTTGCTCGCATCAACAGTGTACCACCCGAGGCTCTTGATCTTGACGAACTTGGAGCTCCCGCGATTAAGAAAATCGGTTTTTTCGATCGCTGCTATCTTGCTGCAAGCTTTGAGAGCCGCCAGAAACGTCGCGCGGTCTGGCGAGATCGTGGAGAGGTTTGCGATTCTTGCGAAAAGTTCCAGTGCCTGGAAAGCTTCTCCATTGTCAGCGTAGCCGAGGATGAGAGAGTTCCATGAAACAACGGTTGGAGCTGTGTTGAAGGCACGGCGAGCTTCGGCCATCCTGCCACATTTTGCGTACACCGATCAGAGAGTTCGCGACATAGATGATGGCGTTTGCCACTCTCAGTGGCACGAGCGTGAATCTCTTTGCCTCTTTCCAAGCGGACTTCAGATCGAAGATCACAGATGAGTCCTGAGGATCTGATGAAAGAATGTGTATTCCAGGGAGGAGTGATGCTGCTTCTCCTGAGGTTTTCATGACGAGATGGCTTGTGATCTGCCAAGCAAGAAGAAGAGCTTATTACCATCTTATAGAGCAGTGAAAACGGAAGCTCAAGAGAAGAGAAATATTTTACCTCGAAAGTCCATGGTAGCCGCAAAACGGATCTAAATATTAGATCTTTGCACGCTCGTCTGATCTACGAGGTGTTGGAGCAATCGTAAAGCCATTTAAATGGGTTGCTTACCTTCGAAAATCCATGGCGCCCCACAGCGCACGCGCCATAGCCATGGTCTACGTGAAAGACAAGTATCTAGCGGTACGGAAATGCACTCCATTGTCCAAATCGTGGAAGTCATTGCTCACGAGCTGGTTTCGGACCTCGCTCCCGAGCAAGCACGGCTGGAGACGCTCTTCTTTGAGATCGACATCTCCTCAAGTAAACATAGTGGCTCTTGGCAGAGGTTTGGAAGATGGCGGCCCGATAAAATCGCCCTCGCGAGCATTGCGTCCCCCTTTCTCTGTCGAGCGGCTCCACGGAGATGAATTCAGTGGCCTGGGAAACACTCTGCACAAGCTCTTAGACTACTATGATCGCAACATTTCCCGGAATAGGCATCCCTCAAGACAATGCTGCACGAAGAAACCACGAAACCTGACCTTTCTTGACCTGTGTCCTTTTAAACCGCTCAAGCGTGAACTGATCCAGAATCTCAGCAACTCGAAACATTTTGGGTTTAAACGGAAGGCATTGTGCTGCGAAGAGCTGGTAGCTTTGATCGTCACAAATCTGGGTCGGCGGGATCTGGCACGCTACTGCAGCGTCTCCAAGTTATGGAACCAATGCTGCCGCTGGCAGCTCGCCCACGGTCGTGGATTAGGGCTTCTCATCGCCCCTGCCAGCTATTGCGAGGGATTGGTGCTTATAGAATCGGGTGGAGTATGGGACAAGATGCACCTGAGCCGTGAATCTGCCCGCAAATTCGAGTTTGGGACAGAAAAAAAGGTGGTGGAACGGCGAGGCAAGACCCTCATGTACGGCCTTAAGGTGTTTGACCAGGAGGAAGAGCTACGAGAGGGCAGGGGATTCGATACTCCAAGACTGTATGAGCTACTGGTTGATGAGGGAAAGGTGGTGGAGCTTCCGACGCGGCTGGATGCAGCCAATATCCTGAGCCCTGAGTTGGCCGAGGTGGTGTCTGATGACTATGACCTCTTTTGGATAACTGGAGACAGAGATGTGTTCGAGTATTCGGTGGTGGACTCGTTCTTTAACAAGCTGGTACAGGGCTCTGATACTGCGCCAATCGATGCGGGAGCTTACTTCTATATTCCTGACGGTGGGGAAGCCTTGTCTCGCAACATTTTGTCACATTTGCCCGATTTACCACGTGATTATTAGAGCTTTGCACGAGTGTTCGTAGTTTCCTCTCTAAAGTTCGAGCTTCTTGAACGATAATGAACCTCTACGTGATATTAGACGTATTCGGGGCGGAGATTGCATTGTAAGCTTCTCGCGTGATGAGATACACACCATTGGTTTGTAAGAAGATAAACGTTTTGTCGTTCATTTCAGCGAGACATTGAGAAATTGCATCCGGCAATCAACTGCTCGGTCGTGTATGGATCTCTTCCTCCAGAGACTCGCACCAAACAGGTAATGCTATCAGGCATTTATACGAGTTCTTTCTTTCCTTTTTTTTTAGGCTCTGTGATTGAAAAACGGTTCTTTATTTCTCGGCTTTCAGTGTGCAGGCTGAACGATTCAACAAGGCCGACGAGGACTTTAGCATACTTGTCGCCAGCGACGCGATCGGGATGGGTCTAAATCTTAATATCCAGCATCATCTTCACGAAGCTGGACAAGTTCGATGGCATCGCTCGCTGCTACCTCAGTGTCATGCAAGTGAAGCAAATTGCAGGTATGGATGGTCTCACGTTTTAAACGACTTCACTCCTATCACTTGTGTGACAGGCCGAACTGGAAGATTCAAGTCCAAATATCCTGTAGGTGAGGTAGCATGTCTCAAAGGCTCTGATATAGCTCATCTCCATCGAGCACTTGCAACACCAACACCTGCTGTATTGGTAATGAGCTAGCAGTTGGATTTCTTATATTTCCTGTCTTCTTTTTCTTTTCTTTCAGGCTGCAGGAGTTTTCCAACTTTTGATCAAATAGGCCTGTACTGTAGCTTTTATCCGAACTTCCCATTTTCGGCTATACTGGTGTGCTCATGTTTTGCGCTTGATTCGCTTTCTAACTTGTACACCTTTGCAGGAAAAGTTCATTGCTACAGTTACTGTGCTGTGTCTTCAATGTTCTTTCTGTGTGACTCTACAAATCTTTTGGCGATAGCGAGGATGCTTGACGACATTCCACTGCCCATGGACTCCCGTTTCCTTTTCTGTACATGGTAACACTCGTCGTTTTTGCTGGCTTCAACTCAATGCGCTTGTGCAGCCCCGTGGATAAAGATAACGGTATAATAATGGGAGCTTTACTCGAGGTATGGTTGTTCCACAATATCGTATGTTTGCTTTCTCGCATTGTTTTTATCTTTTCCATAGTTTGCTAGGAACTATGCGGTCAATAGGAATGTCCCACTGAAGAGGCTTCTAACACCTGCAACAATGCGAGTCCCAAGCACACAAAAGGATCTAGCGGAACTGGACTCCCTACACAAGGTTCGCTTGTCTGGCTTTGCAACCTGTTATAACTCGCTCCAGGTTCTTGATATGTATATTTGGCTGAGCTATCGAGTGGAGGACGCGTTCGTCGATCGTGATCGCACAGAAACACCTGTGCAGCGCAGCGCGTAAGATCTCTTTGTGTCAGCTTGCATTCCAACTGATCTTGTCCACTCCAGATTGATCGAGCAGGCACTGAGCTGTCGAGCCGGAAGGCTGCCAAGCGTGAACTGATCCAGAATCTCATCGAGGAAGGGCGTTTGCCAGAGGATGAAACCCCCGGAGCTCAGCGCGCGAGTATGTACAACCTCAACATAGGACAAGTTGAGAACTTTTGTTTAACGGTGGAAAACATTTTAAAAACCATCGCTATAACAAAGATACCATGGGTGGCCCTTCGAAGTAATCTATGAGGGACAAAAGGAATGCAGTGTTTCTTCAAGAGCTTTGGTATCGTATGCCGAAGTAAACACGCAATTTCCAAGCTCGCCTTTGAGTAGTATGAGTCTCAAATCGCCGTCCACAACCTTCTTGTCTACCTGTACGAAGAAACAAAACCAAGCTTCTTGGTGAAAAACGCTGTGCTCTAGAAAAACGAAGCTGCATACCGCCATTATGTTTTGAAACTTTTCGATTGTCATTGTGCTGGGGGGTGCCACTGGAACTTTCGCACGCTTTAGCAAGTTTAGGATCCGAGACTGAAGAGAAGCGTCTATCCATCCCAGACGGAATGAGAGATCCGCAGCCATTACCTGCGAAGATAAACATATGAATGATGAGGCAATAAGTCGAAGTTTGGGAATTACCGTGCCAGCAGCTACGGCTTCTCCGTGCAGCCAACCACCGTAGCCAATTCCTGTTTCTATAGCCTGCAAGAAAAAGCTAAGCATCGAAAGGAAAGGAAAAGAAAACGAGGGAGAGATAGCTTACATGTCCAAACGTATGCCCAAGATTTAATGTAGCTCTCAAACCGGCTTCCTTCTCGTCAAGCGATACAACCTCTGCCTTGTTCTCACAAGAACGCTTGATGGCATAAGCAAGAGCATCCGGGTCCCTGATGATTTGAATTTCACAAACGAGCGAGCCAATCGAGAACAAAGTCACCTGGCCAACAGCTTGTCCATGTTTTCCTCTTGCCACTCGAAAAACTTCGCGTCTCTGATCAAACCATATTTGACGACTTCGGCAATTCCAGAACAGAGCTCTCTCTCTGGAAGCGTGCTAAGAGTATCCGTGTCGATAACCACGCACTGAGGCTGGTAAAATGCACCAATGAGATTTTTGCCAAGCGGATGATTTACACCGGTCTTCCCTCCGACTGACGAATCAACCTGGGAAAGAAAAATCTTGTGAATTTCCACAAACTAGGTTCTAGAAAGCAAGTTACCTGAGCCATGAGCGTCGTTGGAATCTGAATAAAATTCACACCGCGGAGAAAAGCCGCAGCAGCAAACCCACACATATCTCCAATCACTCCTCCTCCCAGTGCCACGAACGTACACCTTCGATCCATTCTGGTTTCCACCGCTTTGTCAAAAACTTTCATCAAAGTTCCCTGGAAAGAGAAGGAAAGGAAGGTAAACAACGAGAAAGAGCAAACCACACCACGCACCATGTCCTTATACTTCTCACCATCCGGCAGGATAACGCTCTCCACATTTATCTTGGAACCATTTGCCTTGAGAAGCCCGACTACTTTCTCCAGGTACAATGGTGCCACGGTCGTGTTCGTCACCACCAACACATTCTTTCCTTTCACATGTCTGTAGAGAAAGATCGGTTTTTCTGAGAGAACTGGAAAGAGAGAACAGAGAATTCACGTACTTCTGGAGAAGCTCTGGCTTGTCTAGAAGACCAGATCCGATGTAGATTGGGTAGGTGCGATCGCTCAAATCCACATCCACGACCTCCATTCTCGCCTCCTCGCTCAAATGCACATCTTGGAGCACCTGTGCAGCTGCTACCTTGAGCACAGCCCTCCGGCCACAGCCAATCCCCGCGGCGGAGGAGCACCGCAGTGCGAATTGCGCGAACCTGGAAGACGACGATCTCGCGGCAAACAAAGCCGAGGAGGACGACGACGTCGCCGCCGCGAATGGGCCATCGCTCGCCGTGGTGGCAGCTCCTCGGATCAATGCCGCGGGCGCTAGCGCTGCCGCCATAGCTCCTCCTGCCTCCTCCAAACCTAGGCGCTCGTATTTGCTCCCGCAAAGCCTCCAATGCTGACCGCTAGGTGGCCAGCTCACCTCGCCACCTGGACTTCTTAGCCGACGTGTCAGCCACGTCACCGCAGACGATCAAACGCTGGAGAGGACAACGTAGGCGGCCGGGCGGCGAGGATCCAGCTCCATGACCCTCTCCCCCACTCTCTTGGCCCTCTTCTCATCGCCCTGGACCTTGCAAGCGCTGAGGAGCGTCATCCACAGCACGTAGCTCGCCGGGACTGGCATCTTTCGCAGGAGTTCTTCCGCTTGATCAAGCCTCCCGGCTCGCGCGAGCAGATCCACGACGCAGCCGTAGTGTTCCTGGCTGCCAGCGATCCCAAACTCTCTGCCCATGGACGTGAAGTGGTGGTAGCCTTCCTCGATCAGGCCACCATGGCTGCACGCCGAGAGAACGCTGACGAGCGTGATGCTGTCCGGCCTGGAGCTCTCTTGCTGCATTCTCCGGAAGAGCTTGAGAGCCTGCTCGACTTCGCCGTGCTGAGCGTGGGCTGTGACGATCACGTTCCACGACGCAGCGTCTCGCTCGCGGATCCTCTCGAAAGCTCGCCTTGCCTCGGCCAGCCTTCCCGAGCGGCCAAACATGCTCACGATCGCGTTGCCGACGATGGTGTCTGTCTCGTATCCTTGATCGCTGATAAGTTTCTCCACCAGCCTGGCTTGCTTGAGCGAGGACGGCGACGATCCGGAGAAGGCGTTGAGCACCGTGACGAAGCTGATCTTGTCCGGCGCCACGCCTTCCAGCTGCATTCTCTGGAACATCTGGATGGCTTCCCTGCTCAGCCCGTGCTCGGCTTTCCCTGCTATCATCGCGTTCCAGGAGACGATGTCTCGAAACTCCATCCTGCTGAAAATCCTGCTTGCCTCGTCCAGGCTCTTGCTTGCCGTGTACATGTTTAATAGTGCCGTGCTGACGATGTGATCCGACTCCATCCCTGTCTCTAACAGAATGTTGTGGATCTTTCTTCCTTCGCTGGCACTCGAACACCCGTTGAGAACTGTCACGAAGCTTACCTTGTCTGCTTTCAGGCCCTCGAGCTGCATCTCTTGGAATAACTGGAGAGCTTCTCTCCACTTGTCGCGTTGAACGTAAGCAGCAGCGATGGTGTTCCAGGAAACCAGATTTTTGCCGCACTGGTGGAAAACCCGGTCTGCTTCTTCGAGGCAGCCACACTTCGCGTACATGTTGATAAGAGCGTTCCCGACTGCCGGGCTCGCCGCGAAGCCCCGCTCGATCGCGTGAGCATGGATAAGCTTGCCTTCTGATAGTGCTGTCAAGCTGGCGCAAGCGTTGAGAGCTGTGACCAGCGTAAAATCGTTCCCCATGAGCCCCTCGAGTCTCATAAGTCGTGTGCAACCGAGAGCGTCGTCGCTGCTCCCATGCTGGACGTAGGACGAGATTATCGAAGTCCACATAACTATGTCCCTGTCTTTCATGTCGTCGAAGAGTGAACGAGCTTCTCGAACGTTGCCATATCTGCTGTGCATGTTGATGAGAGCTGAGACGAGAAACACGTCCAGCTCCACTCCACTTTCGACCATCAGCTCGCTTAAAATTTTGGCTTCTTGCATCCGAGCAGTCCCGTCAATGATGCTGATGAACGTGAACTTGTCAGGAGTGATCCCTTCGGCCAGCATCCTTCTGAAAAGGTGGACTGCCTCGTCGCAAAAACCAGCCTGTGCATGTCCTGATATAATGGTGTTCCAGGAGATAGCGTCCCTTTCGACCATGGTGCTGAAAAATGCTGCTGCATTGTCGATTCTCCCACAGCTGCTATACATCGTCATGATGCAGTTGCCGACGATCAAGTGCGTGTCGTAGCCACACTGAAGAATGCACTCGTGAAGAAGCTCGCCGAAAGTTAGAGTAGCCGGACTGGAGCAAGCGTTGAGGATAGTGATGAAGGTGACCTTGTCCGGAGTAATCCCCTCCAGCTGCATCTCTCGGAAGAGCTTGAAAGCTTCCTCCCAGAATCCATGCTGGACATAAACCCCGACCATCCTCGTGTACGAGTTCACAGTCTTCCAGTCTCCAATCCTTTCAAACGTGAAGCGTGTGTCCTCTAAGCTCCCACACTTGGAGTAAACGTTGAGCAAAGCGGTGATTACAGCATCGTCACCTCGATCAAGTCCCGTTTCAAAAATCTGAGCGTGGATGGCCCTGGCTGCGTGTAAGAGAAGAGAATCAGAACAGGCAGTCAAGATGGTAACGAAGGCAATCTTATCTGGCCTGACACCTTGAAGCTGCATGCGTTGGAAGTACCAAAGTGCCTCCACACAACAACCATGCTGCGTGCAAGCTGCTACAATGGCGTTCCAGGAGACCGTGTTGGGATGAGGCATTCTCTCGAAAACCTCTCGAGCATCCTCGAGACTTCCGCACTTCCCATACATGTTGACGATCGCACAGCTGACAACAACATCCGACTCAAAACCATCTTCCAAAACCTGCGAGTGAATGAGCTTACCATCGGCCATAGACTCGACGTGAGCGCAAGCGCTGATGGCTGTAGCATACGTGATCCTGTTGGGAAGAACTCCTGATGGTCTCATTCGATGGAAGAGCTCGAGAGCTTCCACACACCGATCATGCTGGACGTAAGTCATGATCATCGAGGTCCACGAGACAACGTCCTGCAGTGCAAGCTTGTCAAAGACTCTTCTAGCATCCTCCACACAACCACATTTTCCATACATTTTTATCAAAGAAGTTCCAACCATCACATTCCTCTCAAGCCCAGCCTCAAGAACAAAGCCGTGAAGAAGCTTACCTCGAGAGAGATCGCCAATGGCACTGCATCCATCCAGCACCGTGACGAACGTGATCCTGTCCGGAGCTAGCCCCTGGAGCTTCATCCTCTGGAAAATTTGGAAAGCCTGCTGGAACTGGCCATCTCTAGCGAAAGCAGCGAGAAGAGAATTCCACGATACCTGTGAGGGATGATCCAAGCTCTGGAACACAGACACCGCATCCTCCACACAGCCGCATTTGCCATACATGTGGATCGTGGCGTTCTGGACGAGATCGTCGCGACGAAATTCGCTCGCCTCGACCCTGGAATGGACGAATCTCCCTTCGGCGATTGCGGATTTCTTAGCACACAGGCCCAGCAGCGCCAGGAATGTGCCCCTTTCAGGCGCCAGGCCCTCCTCGCGCATTCTCTCCAGGGATTCGATCGAGTCGGCCAGATGCCCAGCGTGGGCATACGCTGCGGCGATCTTGTTGAGAGCGATCACACCCGAGCGCTGCTGGAGCTTCGACAGTGCCGATTCTTGCATCGATCTAGACGATCCAGGCGGAGGCGCGGCGATCCCAGAAGCGCCTTCTTCTCTTTTGGTATGACCTAAAATCTCTTTCTTCTCCGCCTAGGGCTTGCTTCTTGCTCGCGCTAGAATGCGTCACGGATCGGCGCTCTACTCGGCGTGATTGGAAGCTCTCTTGCGGGGATTTCGATCTTGCGGCCATGGGAGACATCAAGCACCGCGATAAGGAGAATGATCCGGACAGGATGATGCGCAAGGGCGACAAGCTGTGAGTGCTTCATTGTTCCTCGAGCGATTCCCGGACCTAAAAGTTCTCGTGCTTGATCGGCAGGACGAAGCTGAGCTTGACGAGATGGACATCGGATTGGGCTCGAGCGACCCCGTATTACGAACAAGCTGGTGAGACCATAGCTAGAGAACTAGAGCTTCTTACCCACATTTTTGTGATCTATGTTTAATTCTTCTTCCTCTTGCTGGTAGCGAATCTGTTCAAGATTGCCAAGAAGACTGAGAAGGCCAAGGAAGCGCATGAGAGAGCAGCAATGGGACAAGAGCGTCTTGCTTCGTATCCGAAAAACTTACTCCTCGAGAGTTCTTTTTCTTCTATGATATCCCTTTGTCATCCTTGACGCTTAGAAAACTCGGAAAGGCCTTGGCACGCGGGAAAGCATATGGAAAGCGCTGGAGCCCTCGCAAAAGAGCTTGGATTATGGAACGAGGTGGCGGACTTTTTCAGAAGAGCGAGTGAGCTCTACATAGAATCTGGAAAGCCTCAGCCGGCAGCGGAAGCACTCTCGAGGGGTGGAAGGTACTCACATCAAACTCTAAAATGCTGGTTCTTAATAGTTTTTGGATCGGTAATTCCAGAGCTTTGGAGGATGGCTTGCCTGACGAAGCCGTGAAGATGTACCTTGAAGCGGTTGGGATTTTTGAGGAGGAGCAACGAGAGCAAATGGCGTTTGATACATATCGTTCTGCAACAAGTTTGTACATAAAGCTGCAGAGGTATGATCACTGTGTGGCCTAGTTTTCCTGAACCAAAGGCTTGCAATCTCAGGTATACAGATGCTGCAACCATGTTGCTAAGATGGGGTCAATCCGCTGATAAATGCAAAGCGACATCTACGCAATGCAAGGTATGTTTGCCTTTCTTGATTTCTTAGATTCAGCCTTTGTGTTTTTAGACATGCGTGGGTGCTGTTATCGTCTACTTGTACGCTCAAGACTTCAAGCAGGCCGAGCAATGTCAAAATGATCTATCCATGTAAGTACAGTGACGATTCTCGGGAAGGAACCAACCGCTCGAATCTCCTCGTTTTGCAGGATAGATGCATATTTCCAAAGCGAACAAAACAGGTTTGCGGAGCAGCTGCTAAACGCATACCGGGAAGGAAACCCAGAGGAAGTGAAGCACGTCGTAAAATCGAGCGGTGTTATAAACCATTTGGATCACATGGTACTGTAAACTTTACAATCTCCACTGATCCTTTACCTTTTTGTACTTGCGTAGATCATCCGGCTCGCAAAACAGCTTCCCGTCGGCGATATATCGCACTTAGCGGAATCTAGTGGCGCGGGAGGAGAGGCAGCAGCAGAAGGATTGGAAGAAGATGATTTGACATAGCCTCGTAAACGTGAGTGCTTCAGTTTCATTGTAACAGCTTGCGTTTTCTCATATACAGAGGTTTTTTCCAAAACGGTGATCAAAGTAAAAAAGTTATAATAAGCGGATAAGCATAAGGGAGAAAAATATGCCATTTTCTTGGAAGAACATTCATTGTATCTGGTCAGGAGAAAGGTTTTCGAGATGGCGGCATGGTGTGAGACGCCAGGCGTGATCAAGTATGGTATCCTTGGGGTCGGGATGATGGGACGAGAGCATATACTCAACTTGGCAGTGGTGGAAGGGGCTGAAGTTGTGGCAATCGCCGATCCTTTCGAGCCGTCCAGGCAAGCCGCTGTGAAGATTGCGAATTCTATTCAGAGAAGGCACACTCTTCAGGTGAAAATGGTTTTCTTTCTCTCTTTTGCTCTCATGAGAAGTACGGGTTCAGGTGTTCGAGGATCACAAGGCATTACTCGACAGTGGAGGCTGTGATGTTGTGATTGTTTCTACACCCAACATGACGCACGCGAGGATCCTTTTGGACATTTTGAGCCACCACAGGACGCATCACGTTTTGGTGGAGAAGCCACTTTGTACAACGGTGGCGGATTGCAAGGAGGTCTCTTATCAGTTTTCCTTTGCTTGATTGGTTCCTGCCTTCGATCTATTGTTTAGGTACTCGAAGCTGCAAAGAGTCGTCCAGATATCTTGCTGCAAGTCGGATTGGAATACAGATACATGCCACCGATTGCAAGGCTGATCAAGGAAGTTAAATCGGGGAGAGTTGGCACAGTCAAAATGGTGGCAATTCGTGAGCACCGTTTTCCGTTCCTTGTAAAGGCAAGTTCCTGTTTATACTTGCATGTGGCCGATAAACAATGGTGCCGCTATGCTCACAGGTTCATGACTGGAATCGATTCAACAAAAACTCGGGTGGAACATTAGTAGAGAAATGCTGCCATTTTTTCGACTTAATGAATCTCATCATAGGAAGCCAGCCAGTTCGCGTGATGGCCTCCGGAGGTCAAGATGTAAATCACTTGGATGAAGCCTACGATGGCAAGGTACCGAAAAACTTCATTTTTGCCCCGCCCTTCCTGACACACCGTGAACAGGTTCCAGATATCATTGACAACGCCTACGTGATTGTCGACTACAGCAGTGGCGCACGGAGCATGCTGGATCTTTGCATGTTTGCCGAAGGCGGCCAGAACGAGCAAGAGATTTGCGTGACTGGAAACGCTGGCAAGGTACTAGTTTTTCGCTATAGCTTTCCTTTTTCCTCAAAGTTTACAAGAAGAAAACCATTCCTCTACAAGGTGGAAGCGTTCGTTCCCGACAACACTGTCCGGATCGGGAGCAGGAGCGGCGGCAGGCAAAACGTAGAAACCATCAAAGTCTTCAACAGCAGAGTCAGGTAAAAATTTTATTTTATTTTTTTTGGTACGCATTGAGCTCACTCACAGCCGTTCGCTGCTCACACAGATACGAGGGCCTTCATCACGGCTCAAGCTACTTGGAGCACCTGGAATTCCTAGCTGCGATAAAGTCCCACGGCAAGAAACCACCTGCTGTGAGCCTGGACGATGGACTCCTCTCGGTGGCCATCGGCGTCGCGGCGCAAAAATCCATCGAGCTAGGAAGGGCAGTCTCCATGGAAGAAATCAAAGTGTTTTGAGTAGGGGATATTTTACCTTGTTAATTTTCAATCCAAATAAGCCATGAACGTTGTTTCGATGGAGTTTGCATTAAGCCAAAAAGAAATCTAGCTAAAACTTAAAAGGAGTGTTTGATCACTTAAAAAAAAGATTTAGGGTTCTTGATGGAGGGACCGCTTCTCTTCTCCAGGGCGGCACTGAAGAAGAAGAAGCGCAAGCGCGACGATCCGGCGCCAGCAGCAGAACGCCCAGATGATGGCAATGCGCGCTCCACCGAGATTTGCAAGGAATCGGATGCTCCAGAGGGCGGCGGCGGGGTTGGATCGTTTGAGGAGCTGGGAGTGGCGGAATGGCTCGTCGGCGCCTGCAAGGAGCTAGGTATGCGCCATCCCACGCCGGTCCAGAGGGCTTGTGTGCCGCAGATTCTCAAGGGAAAGGATGTTTTGGGCATGGCGCAGACTGGAAGTGGCAAGACGGCCGCATTTGCGCTGCCGATTCTCCAGCGGCTGGGAGAGAACCCATACGGGATCTTTGCGCTCGTCATGACCCCCACTCGCGAGCTCGCCTTCCAAATCTCCGATCAGTTCAAGGCGCTGGGCGCTGGAGTCCATTTGCGCTGTGCTGTGGTTGTGGGTGGCATGGACATGACGACGCAAGCACAGATTTTGACGGAAAGGCCTCACGTTGTGATTGCGACGCCGGGAAGGATCAAAGCTCATCTTGGCAGTGATCCAGACATCGCTGCCGCCTTCTCCAAAACGAAGGTGAGAGCTCAGCTCGTCTCACTTTTTTCTTTTCATCTCCTTTCACGGCTTTCATTCTTTCTCTCATTCCAGTTTTTGGTGCTTGATGAGGCAGACTTGCTGCTTGATCGCGGGTTCCAAGACGAGCTGCAAACCATTTTCGATGGCATCTCCAAGCAGCGGCAAACACTGCTCTTCTCCGCCACTATGACTGGGGATCTTCAGGCGCTGCGAGACCTGTTTGGCCACAGGGCCTTCTTCTACCAGGCATACGAGGGGCTCAAGACTGTGGAGTCTCTCGACCAAAGGTATATTTTCATGCCGGGGAAGGTAAAGAACGTCTATCTCACGTATCTTCTGGAGAACCTCGAACTGGGAGACATACGCTCGGTTATCATCTTTGTGTCCCGCTGCAGGTACGCAAAAAAAAAGATTCGTTTAAGTTCTAACATCAGGTTTTCATTGGGTTTTCACTTTGTGGATTTTTTTTTCTCTCTCTCGCAGGACGTGCCATTTACTAAGCTTGATACTGGACGAGCTTGGCATCTCTGCTGTGGCTCTACATTCAGTGAAGACGCAGCCCCAGCGATTGGCGGCTCTGAATCAGTTCAAATCTGGGCAGGCAACAATCCTGATTGCAACCGATGTTGCCAGTCGGGGCCTGGACATTCCAACCGTGGATCTAGTCGTGAATTACGATATTCCGAGGTTCTTTTCTCTCCTTGACCGCTGCTCATCGCTGAAGCTCGTATGTCTTGCAGGTTTACTAAGGATTACGTCCATAGAGTCGGACGAACTGCGCGTGCTGGGCGTGGTGGACGTGCGATCTCTCTTGTAACCGAGGTTTGGATTTGCTTTTCTGGTCGCCTGGAGTTTAATTGCTCGGTTTGCGCAGCTTGACGTTGAGCTGGTACACGAAGTGGAGTCCTTTCTCGGGAAGAAGCTGGAGGAATACGAAGTCAGTGAATCGGACGTGCTGAAAAACATTACCAAGGTCTACAAAGCAAAACGAGTTGCAATCATGAAAATGGAAGATAGCGGCATCCAAGAGAAAATGGATGCCCGTAAGAAGATGAAAGTTAAGTCTCGAGCATGAGCTAGCAGTTAAGGTAGGCTTAAGAAAAGAAAATTCTTTGTTTCGTGACCATGATGCCATCGTTAATTTGTTTACTTTCGGCCCGACTGTCCCAGTAGATCTACCATGCTGCTCCAGAGCCAATGTTATGGAGCAGTAGCTGGATCCATCGACCATCACCGATTGGCTGAAGATGGAGAGAAGCCTGATCTCGTTGACGGGTCTCACGCCATGGAGCAGCATCTCTTGGAGGAGATCCGTGGCTATCGCCAGGAATCCATTTGGTGATCATGGACGTCCATGACACAATGTTGGTTCTTATTTCTTATTTTACAAATTTGTATTTGTCAAGAAATGTTTTATAATAAAATTAATAAGCAAAAAGATGATGATTTTAGGCACTATAATTTTGAAAAAGCAGATATAAAATGTGGTTCAAATCTAATGATAATTAAATTGGACAAACTGAGTTCTGGTGTGATATTTATAACACTAAGAGTAAAACAACAGCTAGCTTTATAGTATATAAAGAAGAAACTTATGAATACATAGGATATGATGTAATTGAATGGTACCTTTTTAGTTAAGCTGTTTTTCTATCAAGATCTAATAAATTAAAAGTATGGTGAAAACCAATACGCTTTGAATGGTGAATATTAATTTCAAGGCATGCAATTAAATTAGCTAAATAGTAGTTATTTTAGTGGTAAGATATAATATAAATTTTTTTTGTAAACATATGCTAAATGTTTTAGTTTATTTAAGGTGAACAAAATTGCTGTAGTTTAGAGAGAAAGGATCCTCAAATGTTGAGCCTGTTCTTCAGTACAGGTGTTATGCTAATAGTGGTGGTGTTGGTGGTGATATTATTCTTGTAGTGGCAAGATACGCTTTTGTTTACTGTCCAAAGTCCTAGTTAAGTACTTGAAAAAGCAAGGAAGAATCCATCTTGTTACAAACAAACTTTTCTCTGGAGTTCATTTGTTTCCTTACATAGCAAAGATTATAGCATTTTGACACACAAACAGCCGTCTCACCTTGATCTTGACTCTTTCATTTACTTTGAAAGGGTACTGGACACCGTTCATTACTTTCCCGCTCTCTTTCTCGGTTGGAGAACCAATGTTTTCTTGCTTCACTAGGAACAATGAAATTGTGGAAAGATAATGGAAATAATTCTACCCGTTGTCTCACTGCCATCATATCCATTCTCTTTCTGATGTATCTTGATTGTATTCTGTTTTGTTCCTCTCATCTAAATGCAGCCGCTGCCCTGCCACGCCACCCTAAGCGCTGGAAACACAAAGATAGCACCTCACTTGTTATGAAAGAAAATAGAATATTTGGTAAGGTTCTTGATTACTTCTTATATTGCTCTTGGACACTTTAATCATCCCCAGAAATGGCTTGATTAGAGAATCCACAGTTAGAAAAGGAAAGAAAAAGAACAATGAAGAGTTTTACACTCAATACAAGGATGTCCTCAATATAAATACTTTGGAAGATTCAAGAAAAGCTTACCAATATTAGACATTCCAGTTGTTTAAGAAAGTTTATAAATTATAAACATCTTTATAATTTATAAACACAAGATTAATCTAGAATATGCATCGGTATAAACAAGTTTAAAAGAATATTGCCACAGGAATAATATTAGCTTTTAGAAAATGATATCACCTTCACGGTCATTATCCACTCAGAGCTAGAGCTAAGCGCTAGTAAGTGGGTTTTTCGGTTAGGACCAAGTCGGGGAGAGGATTCCAACACCTTGTTGGTTGCTGAAGAAGCGCTGGATCGCTTGCACAATTATTTAAATAAAGTAGCAGTTTTTAGAATGTGTGAACCATCTCGAGCAATTCTCCTGACCAACAAATTCACCTGAATAACTAAAGAATATTTTTAAAGTGGTTTAGGTGCGAGGAAGACAAAGGTGTAATGCTTCTATCTTGTTTCTTAAAGTGGAAAGCGCGTCAATCCTAAAAGTGGCAAGCTCTACGATCCCAAAACCTTTTCTCTCCCACCTGAAGTGTCAGTTTCGCCATCAAGCATTCCCGTGGCCAGCTCAAATGGTTAGGTGTTGTGTAGGTACTACACAGAAGGAAAGACGGTCTCTTTGGTGATAAATAATCCCTTGATACCATCCAGTTCAGTGATGCTACCACACTGCCAAGAAGTATGCAGTATTGGATTGGATTCAACCTGAGAACTTCGGGCAGCAGTTTTTGCATATCTTTTTTGACTGGTACCATTTATGCGTACACCTATACAGCGGGTGGTCAGAACCAGTGGAAAGAGGTTGGGGTTCTAATGTATAGAAGATATTATGGGATTGCATGGACTGATTTTGAACACATCATAAGGGAAAATGGTCCTTAGATTTATAAGCCTCAAACTGGTGAATCTGTGCTTGAGGGGAAATTGGAAAGGTTGGAGGAGTACTGGTATAGTACTTTTGGATTAGTCTCGTTGAGAGGAGAGCTCATCACTGGTAAAAAGCGTTGATGGTTTTGTAAAAGAGGAGGTAAAATGGGCTTGCTGGGATGAATTCACCACGTATAAGAAAACGAAGACGTTTCTTTGCTTGGATGATGAGTTCACTATCTTCCATGGCCAAACGATCAAATGGTGCTTGATTTGAAGACTCTGTGGAAAGTTCAAAAGTTTGTGAAACCAATCAAATTTAAATGGCACTAATGATGGGAACAGACGAAAATTTTCAGCCAACACAAATGCTCAAATGAATAAGTATTTTAGGGCGCCTGAGATTTCGCATTGGAACATTGAAGGTTCCATTCCCAAACTCTCTGGTCAAACAAAATGATCCTAGTAATCTTATAGTATTTAAAGTACACAAGCATGTAACTAATTATTTAAAAGTCTGGTCATGGTAAAGATATTCATAATCTGAGTGAACAAAATTGTTGAAGTTTAAAATGTTACAGGTTGGCCCAAACTTATCAAGAATGTTGAGCCTGTTCTTCAGTACTGGCGTTGCTGGTGGTGGTAATAGGGGTGGTGTTGGTCGTGATGGTGTTATCACCACTAGCTTGCAGTGATCTATATTGCAAGCGTACGCTCTCGTTGCTGTCCAAAGTCCTAACTAAATACCTGCAAAAAAAGAGAGGAAGAATCCATCTTAACTAACAAGGCGAGAAGAGGCTTACCAGCCATTTAGACATTGCGAGGTTATGATCGCTTCTCGACCAACGAATTTCTCTGGAGTCCGTTTGTTTCCCTGCACAGCAAATATCATATCGCAAAAAGCTCTGACACACAAACAACCATCTCACCTTGATCTTGACTCTTTCGTTTACTTTGAAAGGGTACTGGACACCTTTTGTGACTTTCCCGCTCTCTTTCTCGGTTGGAGAACCAATGTTTTCCTGCTTGACTAGGAACAATGAGATTCTGAAAGGATAAAATGGAAATAATCCTACCCGTCGCCTCACGTCCGTCTCTCCATGTCCATTCTCTTTCCGACGCTTGGCCCTTGACTGTATTCTGTTTTGTTCCTCCCGCCTAAATGCAGCAGCTGCCGCCCTGAGCGCTGGAAACACAAAGAATAACATTACACCAGTTTTTAACGTCTCGATGTTAGAATGCCTTACCGATGTTTGGAATCAAGTGCTGGCTGTCGATAGCTGCGGAACACGATGGACAAGTGCCCTGAAAGTAGCTCGTCACGCATTACGAAAGCAAACTTTGAATTTGACGAGGCCATTACCGATTCCCTCGCCCTTTGGAGAGTGACGCAACCAAATGAATGGCCACACTTGGGATTCAGCATGGCATCCTCGAGATATTGACCCCTGAAGGACAGCTATAAGGCGAGAGAAAGCAAGGCAGATGAATACATACGAGAGTGGATCGGAAAGTGCTAGTTTAAGCGAACTATCTTCATGTCCCTCCTGCATGCACATAACCAAAAGTCCTAGTTGAAAAGCACCACAGTTTAGTCACGTACCAGGCTACTATCTCCACTGTTAACCATCAACGTTTCTGCAGCCGATAAGCCATCCATGAACTGCGCCACGGTAATGGCCCCATATCCTTCAGGAACACAGTGACCAGCGCTCTTCAACGCAGCTGCAATGTCGAAGGTTGCATTGTGACGCGGCATTAATCTAAACGCTAAGGAAGTCCTGCCAGTTTCATACGGTCACCTTGTCAGTGGTCCCGTAAGATAAAGACGTTACCTTGTTGCTCCAGGAACCGGCGATAGCGCTGGCATTCCCATCTTATAAGGCGAAGGACGACGTAAGCCAGCAGTCGCTTGATGAAGAGCTCTTCCAGCAAGTAGCAAGAGGTCTCCAGGAGAGAGAGCACTGTCTGCTGTGTACCAGTGTCCATTAGAATCATTCACCTGTCCAAACAATGATATTATTTCGTAATCCCATGACTCGTAGCTCCAAGACTTACAAGCAATCCTGGTGCATCGGATGCAATGAGCATCAAAAGTCCTTTCTCTACCTCCTGCAAGTTATCGCCCGCTGCCAGTGATCCCTTTCCACAAGCACCAGGAGAACTATGGTGTAGACTTGCCGTCAGATCGGAAGATGATACATCGCCTGGTGGCAAAGGTGAGTCGTCTAGTAGCGGAAAGAAGACACTGGATAAGAAAGGTAAGAAACCACTGAAAACAATCAGAGTTTTTTATTCAACTTACTCTCCACGAAGACGAAGATAGCGAGCAATAACACTCAGAGATGCTCGCGATGCCTTACCCATGCATCTGAAAACATCCGGCATGCAAGGAGGCGGAGGATCAGCCTCCTCAGACCTTATATGTAGAAGAGAGAAACGTGAGAATGAGACCAACGAAAGAAGAAGTCCTATACAGACCTTCCGGCTTTGTAGACGAATGAATCCCGGCAAGCAGTAGTCTTGTTCCAATCCGAGGAGCCCCATGCATGGGTGGTGGTGGTCGTATGTACACAGTTCCTAAGATAGAGCTTGGCCGATTGAAGAGCACACCTCACGAGCTTGGCATCCTCGGAGCTGAGCTCGATAATCACTGCATTGGCCCTGGCGAGCGACGTGGAGACTGCATCCACTGCCTTGAGATAGACCGGAGATGGCTCCCCTTCTTCCGGAAGCATGTCCGCCAGCTTCACTCTCATGAGCCCAGTCTCCCCCAGCCCGTTTGCCGGAGCCCCGAAACCTCCTCCCGGCAAAGTGGAAGATGGTGGAAGTCCCAAAGTGAGATTGGACATCCCAACGCCACCGGAGGAGAGAATTCCCGCTGGAGTGGTGTTGGAATGGTTGGCGGAGTTGAGAGGTTGGCCGCAAGGAGTTACTGTCACTGGAGTTCTAATCCCCGCGGAAGGACCCATGATTGGCATTTGCATCGCCGAGGCCATCTTCATTGGGAATCCATGCCTCTTTTCCACCGCCTCAAACCTCCTCGAAGAACAAGTAGAGCAAAAAAGCTCCGGTGAAGCTAACCTGTGACCTCGAGCGCTCGCATTTGGTGTGCTCGGCGAATTCACGCACACATGCGCATGGAGAGCGAACCTAGCGTGGGCAGCAGCAGTAGCATATGATTCCCGCGACTCATGGAGCTAGCAGCATCAGCCCCGGCCCTGCGCAAGCCCTAAAATCCACAATGCGAACGCCAATCCTGGCCGATCCGAGGGGACGAGGAAGAAATCCCAAGACCTAGCACCGAAATCACGCCAAATCGCTTCGCTGCGCCGCTGTGCCTCTGCTGTGCCGCGCCGCTGGCCGATCGAGCACTGGATTCTTTCCTCTCGTCACACAAAGGCGCTGGCGCGCGATGCCGCTCGCCCGCTCGAGAAAAAGGAGAGGAGAGCAAAGATTGTGCCGCGCCGCGCTGCCCTTGCTACTCACACGCCATAGCCGCGGCGCAATCCTCTCATCTCTCTCGGCGCTCCTCCCTCGCCATTTTCCCTTCAAACAAGAGAAAAAAAATAAAAGGGACCATGAGCCAAGCACTATGGCCGCCTACGTGGCCATGTCATGTCATGTCATGTCATACCATGGCCTGGCATGCATGATGATGATGGGTACTTACTTTAGAAATGGCCCCATGCATGTGAAGACATGGAGCATGCATGTGGGGCACGCCAGCACATGCGTTTTAAGCCAATGCATTTATGATGGACATGCATGTCATAGCTGCCAACTTACTGGCGGGTTAAATAACGCTTGTATATTACAGAGCTCCGTACTTGGTAAAAACCCCTGGCCGTACTGGTAAAATCTCGAACTTTTATCCTTTCAGTCCACTGGCATGGATTGCGACGAATTGGCCATGAGAAGGCCAATCATGTCGGAGATTAGCGAGCGTCCATTGACGTTCTTCTCGACGCTGAGGAACTCTCTCAATCGCGCTTCGAGCTTCCGGGCAGTGTCGGGTCCCAAGCTTGATACCGAGAGGATTGCTCGCAGCGTTGCTTTCAAGCACTCCAGAGCCGAGATATGAACCTGGCAATGGAAGAAACCAACAAAGAAAAAAAACAGAACTTGTAAGACAACGCCAAAAAAAAAATCACATTTTTATCACCTGAGAGACCTTGACGTTGGATACGCAGTCCAAGATAGGTGGAATCAGTTTCTCCTGGGACTGCAAACAGTAAAAGCAATGCTTCAAATGGTCACTGTAAGCTTTTGTGCTCAATACATACCTGTTCATCCGCAACTCCCCCAGGACACTTCTCTGCGAAGGCTTGAGTGGAGTGAAGCGCCGCTAGCCTCACTAAGGCATTGGAACACAAAAACATTACACAGGTGACAAAAAAGCCACGAAATGTTTACCTTGCCAAGAGCTGCTGTTCATGCCTCTTAGCAAAGACGCGATAACTCTCTCCGCGTATTCTAGTACGGTGGAGTCGGCACTGGACTTTAGGCTGGCAGTGAGGCAAGAAAAAGCTTGTTCAAAATGCGTTGATCCTTTGCTCGGTTCATCTGAGACAGTAAGAAACACACCGTTAAACAGGAGAGCAGAAACAAAATATGAAAATACCCGCTGATTTCTCCGAGTCAGCAGTGTCCTTAGCGGCCAGCTCGTCGAGAACAGCTGAAGCAACCAGTTTGAACAGATCACAGTCACTAAAAGCCTCTACAACCTAGAAGCATGACGACACAAAAACCGTGAGCTTTTCCGTGCAGAAAGAGGAAAGATACCTTTTCCAAGCAGGAGTATCCCGCAGCGCGAAAAGAGCTCTTTTTCCGAGAAAATGAGGCGATTACAGTCTCAACCACTGTGCTGGGACTAATGAAGTCCGCTTGTTCGGACATGTTTGTGAAAACCTTCGGACAGCCTTTACAAAGTGCAGAGATCGCCTCAAAAATGCATTCTTTTCCCTGTTGAACGAAGATGAAATAAACGTAAGGAAACCTAGTACTACCTCCCAAGTGCGACCACGCAGCTCATTGAGAAGACTCTTCATAAGTTGCTGAGCGAATGGCTCTGCTGCTTCTCCAGTAACCTCCACGGCTTTGATAACAGCTTTTGCACTCTGAACGCACAACAAGATTTATCGTAGGCGTTACATGAAGGCAGTACCTGCTGCTTTCGAGTCCAAGATGACGTTGCAAGGCCATCGAGAAGAAGTGGCATAATTTCGAGCATGTACAGTTGAAGTGCTACGGTCTGGCTACTGGTATTTTCCTCCCAGACCTCCTCGAAATCGGATCTCACTGACTTCTCTTCGTCAAATCTGAAAAACAATAAACGCTTATCCAACACAAGTATCACAAATAACAAACCTCCCGATAAAGGCCACAGGAAGAACAAGTGTAGCTTGTTGCTTGAGCCCGTCACTGGCTTGACGAGAGAGCTCCTTAAGCAAAAGTCCGCTGGCAATTCTGGAGTCCTTGTCTCCGGATTTGTAAAAACCAACAATATCAGCTATAAGTTGCTCCAACAAACGATCGCCGGAAACCTTCATTACTGCTGCGCACGCAGCTGCAAAGGCTTTCTTTGCGGCTGTGCTTTTCTCTGATATCACTGTAGGGATCAAAACCTTCATAATGGGTCCGGCATACTGCCTCAAATCGGAGCCTACTTGCTGTGACAATAAAGCAATAAACCTTGCGACACCAGCCCTGGCATTTTCACGATAAACACAGATGACATCAACTTTTAGGAAACAATATGCATACCTTGTATTTAGCCCCACGCCGGACCGTACCAATTGAACCAAACGCGGAACAAGAGATTCAAGAGTTTCTTCATCTATCTGACGCAGGCAAAAGTCCAGCGTGTCCCACATTGGAGAGTCTTTTGCGAGAGAGAACCTCGCGCTGTCAAGTTTATCTGTACTTATGCCCAGTCTTTCTGCATGCATCTACGTCCATAGAGATCCAGAAGAAGGACGTGAAAAAAGAAAAAAAAAAAACTCTTACTTCAGCGTAGTTTAAGCGCTGGTCCTCAAGACTCGAAAGACTTTCCAGCATACAAATCACCAGGTCAGGCAACTGAGGCCTTATAGCTCGTCCCGCATTCTGAAATAACGTTTTTACAGCGATCAGTAGAAACAGTTATCACTCACCTTTACAAGTTTCATCACCAAGTTGGTAGAGAGCAGTTGTATTTCGGCTACTGAGCTCGAGATGCCACTGGAAAGTAAAAGAGGTAGCACAATGCCCATTGCTGCACGCGCTTCAGAGTCAGCTGTAAGAGAGGTGTCACAAAGTCTCAAAGTTAATGAGCTGAGAGCCCGGCATAGAATTCCTCCAGCACTTCTGACAGTTTCTTTGATGTCATCCATCGCTCGGAAAGCCATTGTCCACATTTTCAACAGATAGTTTTCAACCTGATCAGAAATTATTAAGTTCTTACAACGCAGAAACACTAGTCCCTCGTACCTCTGGGAACTTGCGACCTTGTATTAGATCTGCCAACGCCGCACATGCTGCTTCTCGAGATCGCCATAACCTCGAACCTGCGTTCACTAAGAGGTCTTCCATTATATCGACATAAAACATGTCGATCGTTTTCTTTGGCTCGGCCACAAGAGACCTCCAAATGTGTCCCATTGCATCCTACAGTTATATGAGAAAAGGAGTGACTTTCAGAATATTTACGGGTGTACCTGAATATTTTTGTTCGGATCATGTTGATAGCGAAAAAGTTTAGGCACGAGTCCACGCAAATGCGGCTCCAAGGCATCACCAGCACGTTTGGCAATTTTTGCGAATCCAAAAGCTGCTCCCCGTCTTGAGTTTAACGAAGCCTGATAGTTTGCAAGGTCCATAAACTTGTACACGAGATCTGGTTGCCCCATCTCGTTCGCCAGGTTGCAAAGCTCTTTGTACGTACTAATATTTCCACCACCTGGAGCTTCACCAATACTTCCCTCTGCAAAAACCTCTGTATCCTCCATCAACTACAAGAAGAGAAACACAACGTAAGAATGAAGGCCCTCGTCAATAAACGACAGAACCTTGATTGGTCTTTTCTTCTTTGCTGTGCCGGAAAGAGTCCCCACAAGCGCCTTCACAAGCTCCTCCCGCGTAGCAGCGTCACCGAGTTCATAAACAACACTCATACCACGTGATGCCATTTCTTGAGTAAGCTCGTTTTGCTCTCCCAGTAAATAAGAAAATGCCTCCTACAAACGTGAAGCATTGTAAACAAAAGGTGCACAAATGTAAATAAAAAAGAAAAACCTGAATTTTTGGAAGCAAAGCCTGGATTTGCAGATGACGTCCACAGTAGATTACAAGAGACAGTAGCCAGACGGATCCAGCACAACGCTCCTCCTTTCTGCTACTAAATATGAGCTCATCAAGCAGCACCTTGAGAATCTTGTCTCTAGAAGTTTTGCGTTGGTCGTTAATATCCACAGCCTTTGCACTACGGTCCTCGACAGACGCAGGGTCGTCGCTGAAAAAATTGGTCGAGTGTGACAACGACACAAAATTTGATCGCAGAATTGTATCTACGTCGACGGGAATAACACCCCAGATGAAGGCCATCGCTTCGCCCACTGAAATAAGAACGTCTTCAACCTACAAAACAAAGTGTCACGAGACTCTAAAATCTAGATGTAAGAAAAGTACCAACCTTAGACCTCTTTAGCTGGAAGAGCATTTCAACTGCAAGATCAAGAAGCTCAGGTAGAGGATTACCAAAACATAGGTGTCCAATAGCGATCACAGTTCTCTGGACAACTTTAGCTTCTTGAGACAGAAGAAGCTTTTTGAAGTGAGTGAAAACGGTCGCTAAAGTTTCGTTTCCTTCTTGTACTTCTTCTTCTTTACTTAAGTCTCCAAGAGGAACTGCCAGTGGAGCACGCAGACCAGCATGGCCCAACGCTTCTGCGGCAAATCCTCCTAGTTGAAATTTCTCAGACCCAAGAAGTCGAATGAGAACTCTGGTCGTATTTTGCTGCACGTCTTCGGAAACCTTGAATAGTAGAAAGACGGTCGTTAAGGCTATTTCCTCTCCTACATCGATTACTTACAGAAGGAACTCCAGTCCTACATTGAGCCAATGCATAGCCTGCTGAACATATCGAACCATGTGCATTTTCGAACCTGCTGAACAGTGCTTAGTTTTCACAATTGTATGGAAGGGGAGAAAATACCGATTTTTTGTGGTTCCCTCGACAAAACTTTTCAGCAAATCCGAAGCTTGCAGAGGATCTAATCCACCGATCACGATTCCCAATAGTCGACTGATAGACTCACGAGTATTCACATCAATGTTTCCCAGAAACTGTTTTAGCCAGTCAATACGTTCAGCATAAAGTTGTGCGAATTTCTGCAAAACATAATGTCAATAGAAACCGTAGTAAAAACTTGGAACTCACAGTAGGTTGTTCCGAAGCAAGAGTGAGAAGTCCGGCAGAGCACAAAGCATGAAGTTCGGCCACCCCTTCATATGCCATTCCATGTTCCAACAGCAAACGCAAAGACACGATTTCTTCTTCCTCTTGAGTTCTAAGCTCGTAGCACTTCATAAGATAAGATACCATTGCAACGTAGACCTTTGGAGGAAAAAGAAGATTGCGTTCCCCGACAACAGACGGCTTCATAATGCCAGGCTGCTTTTCGCAGATGAAGGACATCAGTTCTTTCAGCGGCGGGTATGTGTTAGCGTTGCTGCTGACAGAGCCCTTTGTGATTTGCAACCCCTCTGAGCTCAACTCCCTGTATGTATAGCATTTCGTCAGCTGCGAACTTGGTATTGTGGAAAATAATGAATTACCTTATATCAAGTTTCGAGTCGCCAGCTCCACACATACAGAGGTAGCGACTTGGAACGTGACTTGATTTATATAATCGTGTTGCCCAGAAAATGACACAAAACCGAACTTCCCCTTGAACCTATACATCAGGTGTCAACACTGTCGGAGACTAAAACCGTAAGTCTCACAGAATTCATGTTTTCCAATAACAAATCTTCGATGTCCTTTTCTACTGTTGGCGGGCAGTCCTGTAAAGCACAATAAACAACTGGGTCTGGAGTGGAACGGAATCACAAACCTTATAGGCCATAGCTAATGCATTTACCGCCTCCTGCAGGGTGACACGCATTGATGCGTCTTCCACTTGCAGCGCACGAAAAAGACGCTTTGCCATGTCAGAATTGCTCCTGTTAAACAGGAAGTAAAAACCGCAAGTAAATTTAACAGCAACAGACCGAAAGAGATGAGGTGCGCGTTGTGCGAGCTGACCAACAGCTTGATATCCAAACACTCTCATAGGGTACATGGCCGGGTCTGCAGAAACAGATAGGGTGATCGACCATAATTAAAGCAACGCACCTATTTCCTTTTCATCAAGAAACTTGATGAAGTGACTAAGAATGAGGGGAGCCATCAACTTAAGTTGGTCGCTAGAGGCCTGCATAAGAAAATACAGGCTTGAGCATTACACATGTTACAAGTAAAACACGTACATGCTTAAAAACCCACACGGTGAACTCCATCCCTGCTTGTTTCAGTTTTTTGGTCGTGGCTTGTCCTGCAAAAAACTGTTAGACATCTTTACATGCCTGGGCGCTTATTGTCGTACCATTGAAACAGTCGAAAATGCATTGCAGAGTCATCGGGAAGATATTTGCTGCTGCAACAGAATGGGTAAGCGCGCTCATGATCTTAGCCTTCAGTATCGGACTAGCAGCGCTAACTTTTCCATCAGCAGGTACTCGATCGTTAGCGGGGGTGCCTGAAAAGCGGCATGCAATCAGAGAAATAAAAAGAAGAATGCAACGTAATAGATACTCACCGAGAAAAATCGTGAACAGACTCTTCACAAACGTTTTATCCTCCATGTTAACACCGGATGCCTTCTTCTTCAGCAGCTCCTCACCTCGCTTTGCAACCAAATCGTTTCTGCAAGCAAAAGATAGGGCTTAAAATGTTGTCATCACAAATCATACCTGTCTGAGGAAGCAACAAGCAGAGTAAAATAAACATCTTGGGGCGCAACTTCCATCTTCGCAATTAGATTGAGGAATCCCATCTATTGCGACCAAAACAATTATAGAAAGAACTTCATGAACACAACTACCTTTCGAGGAACAAGGTGGTCGCTTTGGATCGGCGTTTTACCACACACACGAGCCACCTGCGCCAACGAAAGACCTGGTGGTGGAACTCTAGATCAGAAAATAAAGTTATAAAGCAATCACAAAAAGCAGCATTTGTAAATACCCTTCTTGAGAAGCCGATGGAACTTGATATAACAAGGTTTGGGAAATAAATTCGAACAAGATCGGGTAGTCTTGGGACGAAAGACAAGCCTTCAGCTTTGTTGCTACACCCTCAAAGACTCGATCCGAAGAAAGCTTCTCTAAAGCCTGTTCAAAGTCTTCTATCTTTCAGTGCGAATGAATTGAATCCCAGACCTTGGCAGTAGTCCTTAAAAATATATCCCTATGCAGCGGAGGAAAAGATGCGAGCCCAGTGAGCATCTCAGGAACAATGGCTATTTGTTCCTAAAAGTTTAAGCCGCATTACGAAAGAACGATAGAGAAAACGCTTACTTCAGAGGTGGATCGATCAAATGCCATCTCAATGTAAACCAGCGAGAAGTTCTTCACGATCACCGCCGCATCGGGCCGCCTGTAGACACCGAGGAGCTCTGCAAGCGGCAACTTGATAGAAAGTTGCTCCTTGACACGCTTATTGATGTGGCTCAGCATTTCAGTCACCTATAATCTCAATCTCCCAATCACGATCGCATTTTCCCCCAAAAAAGATCCTACCTTGACTCTGGTGGCATTGCTGCTCGATGACATGAGCGAGATCGCGTAGGGGAGGAGCTTAGACAACACCTTCTCCAGCTGCGCATCCTCGGTGAACACCAGGCGAGTGAGAAATCGCTCCACCATCGCGAGCTCCTCCTCGGCGCTGGACGACGACGACGCCATCGCTTCTCTCGCTAATCTTCAAAGCCCTAAATTTCCAATGCCCCATAAACCCTAATTTACACCTCCGACCGTACGTAACCATACCGTACATAAATTCCCGCCAGTTTTTAAAACAAGACGGATATGCGATATTTCAGCTAGTAGAGCGCCAAGATGTGGGCAATGTCGTCATCGTCCTTATTGTGACATGTAGCTCATCCTCCAGTAGCCCGGATGCGCTGGTTGAGGAGGTACTTCATCGCGCCGGTGAAGTAGTAGCAGGACTGGAGGATCACCCGGTCGCCATAGCAGTAATCGGCATAGATCTTGCAGAGGCCCTTGCCAGCAAGCAACTCGGCAAGCCGGTTTTGGTCGCAGCGGACGTGATTGATGGTATAGTTGTCAGAGCAGCCGAGGAAATCGGACCAGTACCGGGGTCAAAAGTTCCGCGAACCTGGAAAAATAAACGTCATCTGGAGATCTTGATCTTCGAGCTCACACTAGACCTTCTAGATCACAAGAAGTGAGACTCGCACTAAAGGAAAAACCCGGAGAAAAGAGAAAGAAATACCTGATTAACGACGAGCTCGGAGTCGCCACGAATGTCGATGTTCTTGATGTTTATGCCCCTCGCCTTGCGCAGCCCAGCGATGAGCGCCTTGTAGTCGGCCTGACTATTGGTGAAATTGAATCGGACGCCTAAAAGAGATGCGCGCCGCGAGGATCTTGCAGCACGAATCCATAGCCAGCCTCGGTCAATCCCATGCCATTTCCGCTGCATGCGCCATGGAACCACAGAGAATATGACATTCGCTCTACGGATCGCTGGAGTTTGTGGAAATCTTCCCCTCAATGAAAAACCCTAAGAAATGCAAAAAACGAATATTCGAGTAAAACGGGACAATAACCCTAAACAATACGGAACAACATAAATTCCCGCTTGTTTTCAAACCAAGGATATTCTAGCTAGTAGAGCGCCAAGATGTGGGCAATGTCATCGTGCTGGTCGTGGATGCCGAGACCATAGCACCAGCCCTCGATCACGTCATAAACATCCGGAAACTCATCCTGGATCACCAAGAGCATGTACTTCATCCTCCAGTAGCCCCGGACTCGCTGGTTGAGGAGGTACTTCCATGCCCCGGTATCGTAGTAGCAGCACTGGAGGATCGCCCGGTAGCCATAGCAGTAATCGTCGTAGATCTTGCGGAGGCCGTCGATCGCGAGCGCGTCGGCGAGCTGGTTTTGTTCGCGGCGGACGTGATCGGTGGCATAGATGTCGAAGCAGTCGAGTAGATCCATCACCTCGGACAAGTAGCGGCGCAGCGTCGGGTTCCTGGCTCTGTAAATTCCTCGAACCTGGAAAACTTATAAACGTCAGAGCTGTGATCGTGATCTTCTAGCTCACTTTCGATAGATCGATGGTGATCGGAGTAGTGAGCGAGATGGAATGGCTATAGAAAACGAAAAATTAGAACCGACAAGTGAAGGGATGGGAAGCGTGTGTGATCAATGCTTCCAGTACCTTTACCTCTTTCCAAAGTGTGGGGGACTGACAGTGTGATCAATTTTTCTCTCCTCCCAAAAAAGCAAAGGAAAAGAATACCATGCATGGATTGGCTCACTAGAACTTCGAGATCACTGCTCAACTACTAGAACTTCTAAATCACTGCTCAAGCACTAGAACTTCTAGATCACTGATCAAGCACTAGAAGCGCGATCACTAGATACTAGTGAGGACCAAAAGATAGAACCGGAATACCTGATAGATGACGAGCTCGGAATCGCCCCGGATGTAGATGTTCTTGATGTTTATGGCCCTCGCCTTGCGCAGCCCAGCGATGAGCGCCTTGTACTCGGCCTGATTGTTGGTGAAATCATGCCCCAGGAACTCGGACGCCTGGACGAGAGGCGCGCCGCGAGGATCTTGCAGCACGAATCCATAGCCCGCCACGGTCGATCCCGTGCCGTTGCCTCTGGATGCGCCATCGAACCACAGAGAACAGTAGGACATCGCTCTACAGCCCGCAGCCGATCGCTGGAGTTTTGCGCTACACCGATGCGCTAAAATCTCCCCCTCATCGGAAGAACCCTAACAATAAATGCGAATATAGAATATTCGAGTATCCACGTTTAACGGGGCAAAATCCTACTTCACCAGCGCCGTTAGATTCTCCCGCGCGATGCCGTCGGTTCACCGGCGCCCTTTCGCCATCCAACGGTGGAGGGCTGCTTCCTTCCACCGGAGGGAAAACTCCAAGGTAGGAAAAATAGGCTTTCAGAGTAGTAGTGGGGAAAGAGAAGGCGCCATGTTCTAGGAGGGCAAGATTTCGCTAGGGCGCGCTCGAGGCAGCGAAGAACAGCACGATGAAGAACACCAAGAACACCAACAACAAATCCACGGTAAATGTCCAGGGACGGGTTTCCACAACCCGGAACTCGAATTCCTCCGTTCTTGGATGCCGCCGGCTTGTTCAGCGAGCTCCAGGATGACGAGGTAGGCCGCGGCCATGGAGACAACGCTCGAAACGGCCTCGAAATCCATGGATTTCCGGCCATCGGGCAGAGGAATCCCCTGGAGCGCGAGGATTACACGGCGTGGCCGTCGCTCCCCGGGGCTTGCGAATTCCGGGAGAAATCGTGCTCCTGGGCGGCAGAATCGTGCCCCTGGCAGGGAAATTTCGGGAGATCCACGTCCAGGTTTAGTCTCGGTGACTCGCAGTGGCCATCGCTCGCTCCGCGGCAACAAGAGAGGTTTAGCGGCGTTTTAGAGCGTAATTCCCTGGCTACTCGCATCGCGGATGAGCGCGAGGATATTCTAGGCACCAAAGGTCCCACTCAGCAAAGCCAACAGCTGGGAGGAGAAGATGAAAGAAATGGAGGAGATGGATTCTCGCTAGCAGGGAGGAGACTTGGAATTGAGAGTGGTGGTAGCAGTGGCAAAGGATGGATGCGGCTGCCTCCCATTCTCATGCCTTCCTCGCACCAGCAGCAGCAACAAAAGAGGTGTCGCCAAGCTGCCTTTGACAACTCTTCCAATCCATCATCGCCGGAGGAGCCGAATGGTTTTGCGAGCCGAGATGCTGGGAAGGGGGCCCTCTCCGCGCCACCACCACCACCATCCGGCTACTTGCCCCCTGTCTATCTCATGCTCAACAAGGACTTCGTCGTCATCTCGCCGCTGAAGGAGAATCTGCTGCTCACGCTAGCTCTTGCGGAGCACAGGAGACCCTCTACTCCTCCAAGCTTCGACGAGGCATCTTCCGCGGCGGATTTGTTCGAGACATCGCCGGAAGTAACAGAAGTAGCACAAGTTGCTGCTGCTGCTGCTGCTACTGCTGCTGCTGCTGCTGCTGCTACTGCTACTACTGCCGTGGGAGATGCCAAGCGCAGGCAAGTTTTCGTTGGAAGGTTTGAGGCGTTCTCGTCCTTCGTGAAATTCGGGCTGGGACGAGATGCCATGCGCGTGGCCACTGAAAGCAATGCCGGGGGAACGTCTACCATCTCTGAGGTAAGTACAAGAATATATGTTATCATATTTTCTGTTTTATAGTCGTTTCTGGCGATGGACTCCTCGTGCATGCAGTCCCTCTCGGTGGAGTATTTCGTGAGGAAGTTCAAAGCCACGGACGTGGTGACGGAGATGGAGGTGGAGTACTGCGCCATGAACTGGAAGAAGGTGGATTACATTTGCAACCTGTATGGCCAGAGAGTCGGAGTTTCGGTCACCAGGGCGATGTCTTACCCGAATCCGGAAGACTTCTCCCCGCAGATGGCTTACAGGCTGCTCTACAAGAAACTCTTTGGACTGGTAAAAGCGAAATTTTTCTACTCTTGGAACTTTGCTAAATCTCTCATCCCTCACAGGTTGTGGCGAGGCATGGAGTGACGGACAGGCACAGCTTCTCCCAGTGTGTTCTTCATGTGTGGTGCGAGACGACGACCACTGCAAAGCTTCTCCAGGCCCAGTACAAAGGCATGCGCCCCTCACAAAACTTTAGAAAAATTCCTTTTGTTTCTAACCTTGTGATTTTCTTTCAGAGGTTTCCGAGGAGCTAGACATCACGGACGATGTAATAATGGTGCTCACAGTAGCCGAAGGCTGGCATGCCCGCCCGATCTTCTACGAATCGTGCTTGGTTAGAGACTAACTTTACGTTGGATTTTCACTGCAAAAATTTCTTACCTCTGAGATGATATTTCTTTCCTTGTCCTACCGATTCGGCAGCCTTGAAAACACCGTAGAGCTTTTCACGGAGTTGGAGCGATCCACTCACTGCAAGAATCTCCACCGACACCTGTGAGAGCCCTCCTCTTCGTACTGTTTCTTTGTCACCGAGCAGCCTTGAAACTCAGGACTAGAAGCTAGCAGGGCTCCTCCATACCATGGAGCTTTGATCGGACTACACAAGCAAGTAAAAACAGAGGCAGAGTAAATCCCCCTTAGTCCTTTTTTTCATTTGAAGCTAACCTGTCTGTGAGTTGGATATTGAGGTTGTATTCATCAGGTACCAGAGGTCTGAGCTCGCTTTCCCTGTGTCACAAAATGGAAGAACAGGGAAGTTTGTGAATGTCTCAAAGAAGAAACTTTGAGATCCTTACAGTTTCTCCTTGAAAAATGGGAACTGGACGCATCCTCCAGTCAGTATGATGCTGTAAAAAACTCGGTTAAACAGCACTTCAAAGCGTAAAGAAATGTACTTGGAGTAGAGCAAAGGATGAAGATCCGGGTGGCAAGAGTTGATAGCTCGGACGATGCATTCGGAAAGCCCAGCTTCTTCCATGCCTTCAATTAAGCAGCACTGATGTGTCAGCTTTTCACTAAAAAACTGAAAAGTTCACGGCCATACCAAGATCTGCGGGCTGGAACAACATCTCGGGCACCATGAATCGCTCGTTGGTCAGTGTAAGTTCCTGTCCAATTCATCCAGAGATAGTCAAAGAACAAAAGAAAGGAAGTTCCAAGTTACCTGATCATCACCAACGGGAATAGCATTTCGTCGATTTGGATCTGAAGCTTCCGCAGCCTCGTCCACAGCGGCATCAACATCCATCGGAGCTTGGGCCTCTTCTTTCTCTTCTCCCTGTTTCTCTCCACCTTGCTTGGAAAAATAAGCGGCAGCGGCAGCGGGATCCTTGACAAATCCACGTTTGTTCTTGACACCATCCGGAAGAACGTACTGGCAGCGGATATAGTTCTCCCGTCCCTTCTTCCTGAATCCACCACTGTGTCAAAACAAGACGAAAAGCTTTAAATCGAGAACACCACCTTGCCACGTCGAGGTCGCCAAGAACATTCTTGGAGCAAAAGCACAGTGAATGCTTCACATCCTCCATGATATAAGTCTCGTCCATGACATTCCAGGCCCTGTAGGAAACGAGCTCCTTGAGATAATTCGTGAGAGCTTTGCCGCCGAGATTGATCCTCTTGATGCCATGGTAGACTGGAAATCCTTGCACGATTGGCACGGCGTGCGTGAAGGAGAATCCGCAATCCACCACCAAGCTGCAATTCCCGAGAGCCAGCCTGCTCTTGGGCCTCCGATTTGCTTCGTATAAGTGGACCAGCGGCGCGGCGTGAGAGACGAAGAGGCTCTGGAATCCAAACTCCTCAAACACGAGCTCGTCGGTGTTCTTGCGGATGGAACCCAGAGTGAAAGGGGGCTCGACGAGGAACAATGCCGTCTCCGGCGGGCGAACCTTAACGAGCGCCTTGAAGACACGGTCCCAGACCTCCTTCTCGGCATCGCAGTGGACGAGATAGCCGCGATCGAAGGGACGGCGGAGAGAAATACCTTGAATCTCGTCGCATTTCTCCAGCTGATCGGCGATTATCCATTTCTTGGAGCCGCGTGGGCGAGCTAGGCAGTTGGGGACGACGATTGGATCGTCATGCGTGCCGACGATACCCGCCTTGACAAAACCCCCGCCGTTGTCGAGGACGAGAATGTCGTCCATGAAAGGAGACCTAAAAGAAAAACCCTAAAAACAAAGGATGTTACCGTCCGTGGGGTTCGAACCCACGACCATGTGATTAAAAGCCACGTGCTCTGCCAGCTGAGCTAGGACGGCAAGGTCAAACTAATGCATCCCACCAATTTCCTCCAGCCCAGTGTAGCAATCATATGTTACTCAGAGCTTAAGAGAAAGATTGATAAACTTCTTCTTCATTGAAGAGGATTGTAAGCAGCTAGGGGTTTCAATTGTATAGTATTATAGATTAAGTAAATTTGTTCCAGGGAACTAGCCTAAAGTAGCAAATTTTTCTCAACCAAGAACAAGAACAATTTCTCTTGGTATACACACTTGGTATATGCAATTAAATTGCTAGGCACAACCAAGGGAAATTGTCCTCTATCTGCTCTCTGCCACTAAAAAGATGAATTAAGCTTGAATCAATTATCTTGAGTCAAAGCCTATGTGATAAAGAATACAAGAAAACATTGCATGGGGGGAAGATAAAGTGGCTGAGGCTAGGCTAGTACATGAGAATTCCCATTAAACAATATATTGTTCCAAAAGTGACTTGGCAGTGCCCCTCCCTTTTATTTTTTACCTTCTTCTTAAATTTGTGCTATGTTCTCCATAACTCCCACACCTCCCACCCACATTAGGAATACTAAATTAATTATGAATCACTTGCTATATAAACTATAAGTATTCTTCTATTTTTGCTTTCTTATAATCATATATAATAACACATTCATTCACGTTTATAAGTTATGGTTATATATATATATATATATATGTCATTATTTGTGATGTGACTCATTATATTGTAGCTTGTTGGCTACCTTTAAAAAATCCCATAATACATACATACAAGCTATTCATTAAGCAACAATACACATCTCAAACAATAATACCATATAGTATAATGAGGTGGAGAGGGACATGGTCCAATATTGGGATCCACAGCTAAGAATTTTATATGTAGAACATTTACATATAGCAATGTACTCATAGTGTTAGAGTTTTGCATATTTAGTATTTGTGGAGAGAGCTTTTTGAGTGCATAATATGGTTTTATAAACACTTTTTTGAGTCTACAAAAGAATTAAAAATTCTTAACATATCTAATCTATAGCACATGCAGAGTATATATTGTATCTTCGCTTAATACCTCATGAAGGATATGGGTTGCAACTTAGAATCTTTATGAAGTCTGTCCCTATCAATATGGTGACTACTTCAAGTTATTTCATGTTCCTACAAATTTAGTTTAACTAATGAAACAAGAGCTCAAGCAACAAATTGAAAGAATTCCTCATAAATTGTGTTTATGTAGGATTATCATGTTGGTTGTTAATGGAAAAATTATTGAAGATATGTATGAACCATTTTTCTCTAACGTGGAAGGTGTAATTTTATCAAAGATAATCTTTAAAGCAATAATAGTTATGTTTATTCTAATATATTTTATTTTCCTTGGTTACATTGAGCTCTCAACAATGTTTAAAACTAGGCCTTTGTAACCTAAAATAAAAATATACATTTATAATAATAGAAGGATGATCTAATGGGCGAAATTGTTTTTGGCTGTACTTAACACAAACCATAATTATTAGGATTTCTATGTGAGTCCACATATGCCTCAAATAAAGTGATTTCATTTTATAATTACACTATATATAATTTCATTAATGGTTTATTTTTGCTGAGTTATATGAGGATTTAACTGGATGAGTTGAGAGCTCAATTACCACACAAACAACTTAGAGGCTTGTAACACACACTCTTATAATCATAAAATTGTTGCCTAAGCAAAAGCATTATAGCTATGATGGTGGTTAGGTCGTCCTTAATTATATAAATTTGCAAGCTCGAAACATGAACCCACCTTTATAATAATAGACATTATGAAGAAAATGCATAGTGAGTATGCAATCAACCACTTGATATTTCATATTCAAGGGTAATATATAATTACCCTTGACAACCAACCATCTACTCAATTTGCCAAAATCAACAATGGGGACTTTAACTTTGATACCATTAACACCCCATACTAAACTTTTAGCATATGCATAGGCTCTTGCTTGCTTGGACTTGGGCTTGAGCATGTACTATGCTATCACCTACAATTCCTAATTGTGTTTGAGTAAGTGAAGTATTGTCTAATATTGCATATATTGCAACATATGCTAAACTTATAATATATTTCTTTCTCCTCTCCCTCTTTTCTAAAAAGTAGCAGCCTAAGCATCTAGAACAAGCAAGTCTAGATGCCCCAAGCCCATAGTGGTGTTTAATTGGTTGCATTGGCATTAACATTAACTATGATATGTGTTCATATAAATTTAGTTAGTGTTGATACTAATAGCCTATTTGCATCTATCTCTACTCTATTGGCCATTTTCTTGATCAAATCTTCTTCTTATAAATATATGTTATTGTCCTTGTAATTTAGATATTACAAACATTTTTTACTACAAATAATGACTCTTTAGTGATAAGCCCATTTCTCCCAAGGGTAATTGCATAAGAATTAAACCAAAATGAGATCATTAACGAAGATGACTTTGTGAATAAAGGGAAGAACATTTTTCCACCAATAGAAGAAACTTTTTTAAAACAAAAAAATATAAACATCACTAAAGCGAAGACTAAGGTGATGGTGAGGATAAACCATATTAAAAAGTTATAGCAAGATCATTTTCACCAAAGGTAATAACACTTAGCCATATGATTGGTAAAAAGTGTTAACACATATAAACCTTACTTTCATTTTTCAATTTATGAGTGTTAGTGTATAATAGTGATAGTAAAGGCATTAAAGACCATGACATGCCTTTCCAAAGGGAAGAAATTCCACTCCACTTACTCCTATGGAATTATTTAACAACTTAGGGTAAATCAATTAAACATTTTGCTATTGAAAATTGAGTTGATCTTTATATATTAACTACTCAAGCATTAATACTAGTGGCTTGACACCACTAATACTATTTAGTTAAACACCCAAAATAGCTTTAACTTCACTTATTGTAGTGTTGTTATTCTACAATATGCCATCATGACACTTGAGTTAAATGCACAAAAAGACATCAAAATTCTTTCATAAATGTAGTGGTTGAAACATAAGTTTTGCAATTGCATTGGTATAGAGAGCATAAATAACAAGGAGATGTTTGATATTGTTGCTATATAGTGTATAAGCCTCTTTTTTCTTATGAATCTATTATTCAAGTGCATTTGTTGTAGTCTGGCTGAGTTATAATTAGCTCAAACCTCCTAAATTTTGCATTGGTTAAACTAATATCCTTTAGTTCGATAATTAGATCCACCTAATTTGTGCCACCATGATTTATGGCATTGTTATTACAGATATAATAAAGTACCTTTTTGGGTGGTACCTTGTAATATACACCTCTCCAATTTAGATTGTTAAGATACGTATTTATAAAGTGTTGACTTCAAAATTCTAAAATAGCATAAGTAGTGATCTTAGTCTTAAGGATCTTCAGATGCATCTAGGTGCCAAATGTGGCCGGACTACTAAATCCTCTTAATTGCAAAGAATGACAAAAGGTCTAGAAACATATAACTAGAAAATGGCCAAAGCTCTGGGAAAGTAACATTATTAATATAAACACTTAAACTAAAGTTTAAGTCACTAAAATTAGATGGAATGCCATCTTCCTTCTCTTCCTCTATGTCTTTTTAAAAACTTGGAAGGATAGACTTCAATAACAAAGATTTGTAGTAAGGAATTATACTAATAGTATGAATTTCGACATTTATAGAGAAATATACTTATGGTAGGAACTTTAATGTCCATAGAGAGCATGATTCAAAACCACTTCCAACACTACTGGCAATTTGTCGTAAATGTGACTGTAGGTAAAATTACCTATCGACAAGTTCTTTTGGATATTCTTTCTTTACTACCATGATGGCACGACATCAATATTGCTAAACCCTTTCAGTCTCCAGTTAAGTTAGTTGAAAAATTGGTCATCATATATATGCCAGATAAACAAAGTAGAAACTCTTATATGTTTCTTGTTGGGCATACTCAACCCAATATGAGAAATTTATATAGTGGCTTGCACTTGCTAGTGTTGGGAACTTTTATAATATTGAGCTTGGTCCCTCAATATTTGCTAAATGATAGTTTACTGTATCCGCTATAACACTCTTATTACCATGCACTTTATGTTAGTTCCATTTAATCTCAATTGCTATTTATGGAAAGTGTCTAGATTTGTTAATTTGGCATATCTATGGAATGTAGAAATTATCTTATTAATTCCCTATCTAAATTTGCAATTTAAAACCATTCCATATTTAAAAAAATTCAAGTTAATCCCAGAGACTAACTCCAAGTGACTAAGGGTGAAAGCCATGCCCAAAACTCTAGGACTATTCCAACTCACTCCATACTTCTATCCCTTCATTCCTTGAATTGAATATTCAAGAGTCACTCTATGCTTCGGTTCTTTCATTATTTGGCTGGAAGCTCAAGAGTTTAGATTTGTTCCTTCATTAAGTGGTGCAATATAACACATGTGGTTTTGACCCTTTATCCTATGGTGATTTACTATAGGATAACACTACGAAGAAAAACCTAAACCCTCCATATGCTATGTGTCATATGCCACGTGACACATGCCACGTGTCCAAAGGACAGTGGTGTGGAACCTGAGTTTCAAGGCCTTAGGCCATTGTACGAAGGAACGGTGCCAAACTCCCAAGCATGAAGCTAAGGAGCAAAGGAACCGGACCACAAAGCAACTCCCAAGCGTATAGCCCAAGGAGCGAAGGGACAGAGGCACGGATCAACTTGGAACAGTTCTAGAGTATTCAACATCCCAATGCCAGGACCAATACACAAAATAGAGCCAAACGGAATCTAGCATTATTTCAGCATACCTGTGTTCTAACGCAAGGACATGAGTACTCCACCAGGTAGCATGGTGTGGAACTTGGGCTTAGACCCAAGCCAAATGAAAAACAAGGATAGACACGCAAGCAGGAGCTAAATTATGCCTCAAATTAGTTCTATAGGTGCTAAACTTAATAAACTAACACTTGAACAAGAGGGGCTGATAAAGGGAACCAGCAATACC